ATTGATTTATCAAACTTCGTGCTGCTCTGGAAGTGGAATTTGAGGAAGATTCCTGGTAGTAAAATGCCCGTTTTTGGTCCTGTTTCAGGAATTCCTGGCTGAAAGGCTTGTCCTGATTTTTTATTTTTTTTTATTTTGGTGTGTCTGGTTTCAGCTCCAAAGGCTGGGATGGGTCAGAATTTTGGGAATAGTCCAGTAGATTCCCACAGCTGGTGTTGATCTGCTTGGGTAGGGATGGAATTAACATTTGCTGGGAGTTTTGTTTGGGATTTGGGAGCTGAGTTTGGCTTTCCCTGGGCTGGCAATGAGCCTGGAGTGGCTGAAGGCATATTCCATACCTGCAAAGTGTCCTTTTCCATAGGAAAACTGGGATGGAGGAGTGGGAAAATGGGAGTTTGGCTTCCAGGTTTGCACAGAGTGGGAGGAATAACTTTGCTTGGGGTTTGGGTCCCTTTTTTCCACATGGTTTTATCTCATCCCAGGAGTTTTCTTATCCAAGTGCTTCCTTTCCCATCCTGGTCCTTTTTAAGGATCTGCTTCCTTCAGGCTTCACAATTCCAGCTCAGCCTTTACTGTTCTCTTTTCCCTGGGAAATCCAAATTTCCAGGCTGGGATTTGTCCTCTTCCCGTTATCCAGGTGCTCCAGGACCATTCCCATTCTGCCTTCCTCTTCCTCCTCATCCTGCAGGATACATCCCAATCCCTTGTGTGTCCTGGTATGGCTGGAACATTCCCAGTGATCCTGGCTCTTGGAATTCCAAATCCACTGATCCCAGTTGAGATCCTGCTGGATCTGGAGCTGGTAACCAGAATGTCCCCAGGGAGGATTTTGCCTGGAGCTGCTTTCACCTCTCAAATCCTGGGAATTTTTTGCCTGAGGGCAGGTGATTCTGCTGGAATGCCGGACCACCTGGATCTGTCGTGCTCTGCTGGATTTGGGCCATGCAGGAGGAGCTGGAAGATCCCAGGATGGAGGGATAATACAGATGGACACCATGGATAACCCGGAAAATCCAGGAGCCTGCTGGAACTGGGATGTCCCCTCGAGGTGGGGTTGTGCGGGCACAGGGAAGTCTGGAGGTGACAATCCCAGAGATCCACCCAGAGGGTGGTGAAGTGCCCAGAGCCATCCAGGATCACAGGAAAGAATTCCCAGATGCAGAAAAAGGGCTTGGGAATGCCTTGCCCAAGTCCTGACCTTGATGAGGGAACATCTGCGCTGCTCTGGATGAGGAATTCTCCAGAGGGAAGGACCATGGCACCCTCTGGATGCCATTGTGGTGTTGGGCAGCACAGGAAGGAGGAGGAAAATCCAGGTTCTTCCAAAACATTCCAAGGTTTTGCCATCAAACAAAAGACGAGCTGGGAATCTCCAAAGGAGACCCAGGTCTTGGGACTGGACACAGTGAGATCCATGGGGATGTGGTCAGTTCTGGAAGAGCTCTTGGAAAGGCACAGCAGCTTCCCAGGCATGGCTCTGGTTCCAGCTTTGTTTATCTGCTCTGGAGTTAGCACAGAGCCAGAAATTTCCATGCTATTTATAGGGACAAATCAGGAAATTCTCCTTTTGGAATTTCCTTTTGGATGAACCTTCTTTGGAGCAGGAGAAATCTGCTTCTGCCTTCTCCTGAGGCTCCAGAGGGACCTTGTGGCTCTCCACAGCTCCCTGACAGGGAGGGGGATTTGGGATCTGATCCCAGGGAGTTACAGGATGAGAGGGAATGGCCTCAGGCTGTGCCAGGGGAGGCTCAGGGGGAACATCAGCAGGAATTTCCTCATGGAAAGGGTGCTCAGGCCTTGGAAGTGCCCAAGGAGGTTTGGAGTGCCCATCCCTGGAGGTGTCCAAGTGTCCCATCCCTGGATGTGGCACTCAGTGCCGAGGTGGGCATCGGGCACGGCTTGGACTGGATGGTCCCAAAGGTGTTTTCCAGCTGGAATAATCCCAGGATTCTGTGCTGGTTGAGGTTCCTTGCCCTTTTCCTCCATGCAGGAATTCTTGCTCCAGATCTGTCCCTTCTTGCAGTGGAGCCTTGTGCAGGTGCTGCAAACACCAGGGAGAGCTTAAAATCCAGAACTTTCGATTTCTCCATCTGCATTGGGAAGCCTGGAAAAATGGAGGCGGGAAGTTGAGGGGAAAGCAAGGAAGGCATCGTTCGGCTTTTGTGTGGTGCTCTGAAGTTCTGGGATTGCCGTTCCCAGAGATCAGCTGGGAATGTTCTCCTGGAGAAGGGAAAGCTCCAGGGAGAGCTGAGAGCCTAAGGGAGAGCTGGAGAGGGACTTGGAACATGAGGGATGGAGGGACAGGACCCAGGGAATGGCTTCAAATTGGAAAAGTAGAGATTGCAGTGGGATCTTGGCAAGGAATTCTGGGCTGGGAGAGTGGGCAGGAATTCCCAGATTTGCTGTGGCTGCCCCTGGATCCCTGGCAGTGTCCAAGGCCAGGGTGGACGCTGGGGCTTGGAGCACCCTGGGATGGTGGAAGTGTCCCTGATCTGGGGGTGGGATTGGATGGGATTTAAGCTCTTTTCCCATCCAAACCATTCCATGATTCCACCTGATTTCCGTTCAGTGTCGCCGCAGCCCCGGCTCGGAGCTCGGTCCCTGCTGTGGTGTCCCTGTCCCAGCAGTGGCGCTTCCGAGACTCCGACGCTTTACAAACAAAGCTGCCTGGAAGAGGAAGGTGAGGCTCTCCCTGATATCTCCAGACCATTGTTTACTCCATCTTGGCATTTCCTTAGAAGCATTTCCAGCATTTCCTTTGGAAAGGTCACTCGGGAGCTCCTTGTCCGCAGCCCTTCCTAGAATCCTGGACTGGTTTGAGTGGGAAGGGACCTCAGATCCCATCCAGTGCTACCCCTTGCCATGGATGGGGACATTTTCCATAAACCAGGTTGCTCCAAGTCTTTCCCAGCCTGGATCCCATCCCTGGCCAGGCAAACGAGCTGAGGTTTGCAGAGGTGAGTTTTTACTCCCGATCCTGCTGTAGGAACTGCCCTGCTCCCAGGTGTCCATGTGAGATGCAGCACCTGGAAATACCTGGAGAGGTAAAAACTCATCCTATGGGAATTCTGGTTTTTTATCTCCTTTGGGAGATTCCTGATCTGTGGAATTAAGGTTGGTGGTGTTTCAGATTTGCTCCGCTGATCCATTTGAGGTTGTCCTGGTGATGGCTTTGACAGTGTTCCTTCTCCAAGTGCTTCCCACAGGGATGGGCTCAGAAGGAATTTTTGTCCTGCAGTGCTGGGAATTCTGGAGAAAACACACACAGAAAGGCAGGAGGTGGCTCGGGGAATGTTGATTCACATTAGTTTGGAAACCCTCTGGAGCAAACTTTGCTTCACATGCAGCTCCTGTTGAAATCTAATTTAATTTATGGAAGGAGGAGGAATATTGGGTGAGATGGCTGGAATTTTGGGAATGCGGGCTGGTGGGAATCTGGTTATTGTTTGCTTGGAGAGGATTAATAGGATTCATGTTTCTCCTGAGCCTGAACAATATGTACTCGCTTCAAGTTAAATAATTCCTCAAAAAAACTCACAGCCAGATGGGAACAAACTCCGGGAATTACGCTGGAAAATCCTCCTCTCCTGCACCTGTGTTCAGTCACTCCCTGTAAGGTTTATTACTTGAGCTGTGATCTCAGTGTGAACCTCTGCTCGTGGAAAAACTTCCAGCTGGAGTCAACTTCCACGAGCTTGGAAAACAAAACCCCGTGACGACGTCGGCATTGGCGAGACGAGAACCTCGGCGCTGCAGGAACTCTGCACGGACCTTCAGGAACGGCTGGGAAAACTCCTGGAAAACCTGCAAGAAGAGTCCAGTTCCAGGAGACAACAAATGGACAAGGGGGGAAATGAGGAATTCCCGGGTTTGGAGTTCTCCTGGTTTGGGCTGGGACGGGGTTGGGAGTTTTTGCAGCTGCCGCTCTGGCCGTGCCGCGTTTGGGGTTGGGATCAGGGACGGAGCTGGGAACACGCTGATGTTGTGGCTGCTGCTTTGTCCTCTCCCTGAATGCAGAATTCCCAATATCCTCGCTCGGTCCTCGAGGAGCTGCACAAGGACTTTGCCGCTCTTTGATGTTTCACTGGTCTCGGTCTCCATCCCTGATCTGCTTGGACGGGGCTTGGAGCACCCTGGGATAATGGGAGGTGTGGAATAGGATGGGCTTTAAGGTCCCTTCCAGCCCCAAGCCCTGTGTGATTCTTTTTCCAGAGCTCTGTGGTGTTTTATTTTCCTCTCCCTGTATTTGTACCTTCTTTTCCCACCTCACAGCACTGAATTCTCAGTGATTTCACCCAAACCAAGCCCCGCTTCCATTGACCACGGTGCTTTTTGTGTGGAGATTTTTCTGTTGTCGTTGTTCCTGTACAATTTTACTCCTCTCTGTTTCAAACCCTTTCCATTTAAGCTCTTGGAGAGATCGGATATTTTCTACCCACAGAATTCCAGCCTCGTCCCACCCTGTGAATTCTTGCAGGGTTTGCTCTTCACCCATGAGAGCGCTCATGGGAGTGTCCTCCTGGAAACGGCTCCGGCTTCGGCTCGGCTCCACCCAGTTGGAAGTGGTTGGAGTTCTCCATCTAAATGGTTCTACTTCCAACTCATCCCTCGTCACCCTTCCAGCAGGGGGGTTTCACGCTTTGCCTTACTGCTCCTAAAGTTATTAATTGTAATTAAACACAAACTCTGTTGTCACAAAGAAATGAAATGCCAGGTGTTAAGCGATGCTGTTGCAAGTGTCGCCACCAGTTGTGTTCCCTGTGACATCCAATCTGTTGGGTTAAGCTTGTTAATCACCTGTTTAATTGATTAATCAGCTGTTCTCTATATTTAAGATTTAAACAGTGAAAGAAAAACGGGTTTTTTTGTGAATTTTGAGTGCTTTAAACTGTGGTGCAAATCCCGCTTCTGTGCCTCGGGTTGCTTTTCTCCCCGTCCTAGAAGCCGCTGTGAGCAGATGCCAAAGATGACCCATCTAATCCTTGTCTTTTAACTTGCAGCTTTGTGTTGTTCTTGGAAAGTTTCGCACCACTTGTGAATTCCCTGAACCTTGGCCTTGCCAGCCCCCTTGTGTTGGGCCCTCCTCCTTTTCAGCTTGCCCAAATTAAGACCCACTTGGCTCTCCAGCACTTGGCTGCCAGCGGCGGGCGGGCACCTCCCCACGCTGGCGCCCGCCAGGCATTGCTGAAAGACGCAATGTTTAGCCCCAGAGGAACCTTGCCCCCGAGGCCCAGAGGACCCAACCCGTCGGGCAGCAAACCCCCGGGAGGTTTTGGGGCCGGAGGCGCGGCGGGGCCGCCCAGGAAAGCCGCACCCGCGACGCCCCAAGGAGCGCCGCAGAGATTCTCGGGGCAGGACGCGCTGCAGTGGACGGGTTCACAGAGGATCAACGTCCGCGTCACGCTGCACAGGGCCGATCCCAGGAAAGTCAAGGAGAAGACCGGCCTGCACCAGGAGCAGAAGGGAGACCCGCGCGCCACTCGCTGGGATGGCGGCCCCTGCCCCACCGGCACCGCCGGGCCAAAGCCGCCCGGCCCGGCGCCGGTCTTGGAGCAGAACTCCAACCCCCAGAACCGCTACACGCCCGAAAGCGCCTCCAGCATTTTAGCGAGCTTCGGGCTGTCCAACGAAGACCTGGAGGAGCTGAGCCGCTACCCCGATGACCAGCTGACGCCCGAGAACATGCCGCGGATCCTGCGGGAGATCCGCATCCGGAAGATGGGCCACGCCGTGTCCGGGCTGCACGCTCCGAGCCGGGGGGAGGAGCCGGTGGGCGAGAGCGGCGGCGCCACCGTCAAGAGCAAAGTGATCGACTACGGCCACGCCAGCAAGTACGGCTACACCGAGGACCCGCTGGAGATCCGCACCTACAACCCCGAGGCGCTGCCAGAGGAGCCGCTGGAAGCGCGCGTCTACAATCCCGAAAGCTCGAGCGCGGAGATCCGGGAAGAATTCCAGCGGGAGCAGAGCGTGCCGGTGGCCGTCCCGCCGCCCAGCGTGCCGTGCAACCCCGTGTTCCCGGCCGAAGACCTCATCAAGCTGCCGGCTTTCCCAACTGACTCCTCTCCCACTCCATCGTTTTTCCCGGCCGAGCCGCCGGCCAAGGTGCCGGTGCTGTGCGGCAGCGCGCCCGCCGCGCTGCCGGTGGTGAAGCCGGTGTCCCAGCCGCCCATGCCGCCGGTGCTGCCGCCCATTCTGCCGGCGCTGCTGCCCACGCCGCTGCCGCAGCCCATGCTCCCCCCGGTGATGCCGCCGCTGGTCCAGCCGCCCGTGTCCCAGCACGTGTTGCCGCCCTTGACGCCGCCGCCCTTCTCGGCCGGGCTCTTGGCCGCCATCAGCCAACACGAGCAGAAGCAGCGCGACGCCGGCAGCGCCCACCCCGGGCCCAGCACTGCCGGCGGGACCTCGGCGGGACACAAACCCTACCACAAACCCTTCCACCCGCCGGCGCAGGAGCCCATCAAATCCCCGTTCGGGGTGGTGAAGGCGTCCTGGCTGCCCGTGTTCCCGGACCAGAAGAGCAAACGCCTGCCCACCCCGTCCATGATGAACGACTACTATGCCACGTCGCCGCGAATATTCCCACATTTGTGTTCTCTGTGTAACCTTGAATGCACTCATATGAAGGTGAGTGGCTTTCCCAGATTATTCCCTAAGCGTGTGTACTCGGCACCTTTTCCTGCAGCTGGTTGTTTTTCCTGGGAATTCCATGCATTGGGATGCTGGTCGCCAAGTTTGAGTGTTGGGAATGGTGCTAGAAATGATTGTAACGGCATGTTCTGCTCCCAGTTGCATTTCAGAGTTGCTTTACGTGTTGATTTTTATTATTTTTTTTAGTATTGAAGTGTTTTTTGACTTTGCAGCGGGTTTCAAACAACAAAACAAACCTCAAGCAGCGGAGTGAAATATTAATGTTGTGTGTGGGGGACTCAAATCATGTCTGGGGGCGGGTGAGATGTCTGTGTGTTCATTCCCCCCCTCCTCCTCCTCCTCCAAACTCTGCCTGAAAACAAAAGAGCCCATTTAGAACCCGAAATTTCATCTTCCAAATCTGCTCTGTGTGACAACGCTGAATATTCCAGAGGCTGGCTCGGGGCGACGCGGAAAATGCGTCCATTCATCCTGCCAGCTTTCAGCCTTGAAGGAAATCACAGTTTCAGCTTTGAAGGAAAAAACAAAGGGAGAAAATGGTGGCTGTTGGGAGATAAAAAATGTTTTGGAAGCTGTGGGTTTCTCTGGGAAAGCCTGAGGTTTGATCTGTCAGAAATGTGGGAGAATGTGATATAAAAAAACCTGAGTAATTAATTAATTAATAATTATTTAATATATTTGAATTGCAAAGTGTGGAGAGGCTGTGGGGGAGGGATTTCTGTAATTTGGCAAAATCCTGGAGATTTTAGGCTCTGTTTGCTGTGAATTAAAAATCTGGCTGAAAATGGGAATGGCTTTGTTAGGGAAAAACAAACAGAAATTCCCAAACCCTTTTTCCCAGGAAGCGCTGAGGGCCAGGGCGGTGGGCAGCTGGAAATGGGAAGAGAAGGATGATTTTTTGAAAAATGGGTAAATTGAACAGGAAAATGAAAATAGGGGCATGTTAACAAAGGGGAGAAACAGTTTGGGAAAAGGAAATTCATTTAGATGGGAATTCTTCTCTTGTTTAAGGAGGGAAATGTTGTCACTAAAAATCTGTTGGCAGATCAGCTCTGGCTGAGGGTTTTGGGGTGGATTAAAGGTTGTGCAGTCTTGTCCTGGTGGCACTGGGGTGGGATGTGTTCCCAGGAATCCTGATCCTACTGTAGCTTCCCAAATCTGCTCCCTGTCCTTTAGCTCTGGCCCGGATTCCCTTCCCTTGGGAAGGGTTTGGTGTTTGTCTCCCAGGGACACAGGAGACCTCCCAGGACCGGCCCTGGTGCAGAGGAACCCACAAGAGTTTGGGAATTTTATCCCAAAAATAAAACTGATGAAGAAATGTCCAGCTGGTGTATCCATGAGTTGCAGAGTTCGAAGAATTCCTCTCAATTCCAGCTCTGCAGTTCAGCAAATCTGGTCGGTTTTGGGTGGTTGGAGATGACCTGGACATTCAAGATTTGTCTTCCCAGCCATTCCCTGTCCCGTTCTGGGAGAGCTGGATGGGACCTCAGGTTGGAAGAGCCACTGGATCCGGTGATTCCCAAGGACTTGAGACATTTGATGCTGTCCCAGGTGGCATGGCTGTCCCCAGCCTGGAGAAAGGGATTTCATGGATGGTGGCTCTTGGAGTTGTCACCAGCTTCATGCCCAGGTGGGACCAGCCACCCCAGGATTGGGATCAGCACTGCTCAACATCTCCGTCGGTGACAAGGACACCGGGATTGGTCACCCTTGGCATGGTGAAGGTGACACCATGCTCTGCACTGGGATCACACCTGGAGGGATTTTCCGCAACATTCTGGAGAAGTTGGACCATCCCAACCTCGTGAGGCTCAGCGAGGGCAGGAGCTCCTGGGGCAGGACAATCCCGGCACAGATCCAGTCTTCCAGGTGGGAAGAGACTGATTGGAGCAGCCCTCGGAGAAGGACTTGGGGTGTTGTGGATGGGAAGCTCCAAATGTCCCAGACAGATCCCTGTGCCCTGGGCAGCGGGAAAGGTGGGAGTTCTGCCCAGCTGAGACCCCGCCTGCAGAGCTGCCTCCAGCTTTGGGGCAACGTCAGGAGGACCTGGAGCTGCTGGAGCAAATCCAGAGGAGGCCATGGAGATGCTCTGCAGCCAGCTGGGAGAGCTGGGAATGTTCTCCTGGAGAAGGGAAAAATCCAGGGGAATCTCAGAGTCCCTGAAGGGGCTCCAGGAGAGCTGCAGAATGTGCACTTGGAGAAGGGAAAAATCCAGGGGAATCTCAGAGTCCCTGAAGGGGCTCCAGGAGAGCTGCAGAGGGACTGGGGACAAGGCCTGCAGGGACAGCACACAGGGAATGGCTCCCACTGGCAAAGGGCAGATTGGGCTGGGATCTTGGCAAGGAATTCCTGGCTGGGAGGGTGGGCAGGGGCTGGGCTGGAATTCCCAGAGCAGCTGTGGATCCCTGGCAGTGCCCAAGGCCAGGTTGGATGGACTTGGATCCACCTGGGATTGGGGAAGGTGCCCCTGCCGTGGCAGGAGTGGGAATAGGTTTTAAGGTCCTTCCGACCCAAACCATTCCATGATTCTGGGATAACAGGAACCGGCATTGGATGATGATGAAGGTGCTCAGCAATGAAAACCTTCTCTGTCCCATGTCTGAAGATCCTGAAAACAAAATTCCAGCAATGGGTTCCGAGTTCAGACTGTTGGTGCTGAGCTCCATTTTTCCATGGTTTTTCCGTGGATTTTTAAAATCCGCTCTTGGATTAACTCGTTTTGGATCCAGCCATGCTGCATTGCCCATGGGAAGAGAATTCCTGCCACTGGAATATGAAACCCAGAGGTTCCCACCTGGATGTGGGATATTCATCCCAACATCGTCCCTCCAGCTTGGCTCTGCCAAAACTCTGGAAACAGAATTTTCCTTGGGAAAAAATCCCTCCTAGATGTCATTTTTACAGATTTCTGTTACATTTTAAGGTTTTGGGTTTTTTTTTTGGTCTAAAAGCAACAAGTTTTTGTATTTCCCACCTGCATCCAGAGTTTTTTGTGGAAAACGGATAATTTTCAACTTTGAAGCAGGCAGGTCCAAAATATTGGGAATTTGTGGAAAAAAATGGTGGAAATTTGTGGAGGTGTCAGTGGTGGGGTTGGGGCAGCACCAGAATTTAACAGATTTGGCCTCATTTTGATCTCAGGCAGGAAGGGATGTGGTGAGAGGTTGGACTCTGATCCTGAGGAATGTTCCTGTGGGATCCTCAGGGACCAAGGTGGATTTTGGGGCATTAAAATCAGAATTTGAGGCAAAAATCAATGTTTAGGCCAGGTATTCCCAAAAATCTTTGTGTCCTGGGTGATTTTTTAGGACAAAATTCCCAATTCTGCTCTGGGACAGGCGGAGTCTGACCCCGCTGCTGTTCCCTTTCAATTCTGATTTCCCAAATCCTCAAAATCTCGAAGGATTTTATGGATGTTCCATGGAGCAGCTTCATTTTCCACTTGGAATTGCATTCTGTGGGAATAACAAAGCTGGATTTGTGGGATTCCTCCTCCAAACGCTTCACGTTTTGGATGGAGCAGATTTCTTGGAATAGCAACGATTCCTTCATCCTCGGTCCCATCACGTCTGGAATGAAGTGGATTTGAAACATTCCCAGCACAAGGGATGGGATTTATCCTTATTTTTATCCACTTTTGTTCCCCAAATCCGTTCAAAGTTGGGGGTGACGCCTCCTTGGACCTCGAATCTGTGAAATCCTTGGGATTTTCAGTTTTCCTGAAGATTTGCACTCGGAATTCCTTTATTGGACACTTTGCTCCGCCACCTTCTGCTTCCAGGATTTCTTGGTGGTGATCCGTGAGTGAGAGGAGGTTGGGGTGGAATTAGGGAAGGTGGGAATGGAGGAGTTCAGATGGAATTTTTCTTCTCACCAAGATTTATGGGAAGAGATCCTATAATTTTAGGGAAAGGATTTCTCTGGATCCCAGGAAAAATCGTGGCTGCTCCATCCCTGGAATGTCCAAATCCAGATGGGGCTTGGAGCAACCTGGGATAATGGGGTCATCTTTAGGTTCCCTTCCAACCCAGCCATTCCATGATAATTCCATGGGCAGTGGATTATTCCCACTGGCAAAGGGGAGATTGGACTGGGATCTTGGCAAGGAATTCCTGGCTGGGAGGGTGGGCAGGGGCTGGGCTGGAATTCCCAGAGCAGCTGTGGATCCCTGGCAGTGCCCAAGGCCAGGTTGGATGGATTTGGATCCACCTGGGATTGGGGAAGGTGTCCCTGCCGTGGCAGGAGTTGGGATGGGTTTTAAGGTCCTTCCGACCTAAACCATTCCATGATTCTGGGATAACAGGAACCGGCATTGGATGATGATGAAGGTGCTCAGCAATGAAAACCTTCTCTGTCCCATGTCTGAAGATCCTGAAAACAAAATTCCAACAATGGGTTCCGAGTTCAGACTGTTGGTGCTGAGCTCCATTTTTCCATGGTTTTTCCGTGGATTTTTAAAATCTGCTCTTGGATTGACTCGTTTTGGATCCAACCATGCTGCATTGCCCATGGGAAGAGAATTCCTGCCACTGGAATATGAAACCCAGAGGTTCCCACCTGGATGTGGGATATTCATCCCAACATCGTCCCTCCAGCTTGGCTCTGCCAAAACTCTGGAAACAGAATTTTCCTTGGGAAAAAATCCCTCCTAGATGTCATTTTTACAGATTTCTGTTACATTTTAAGGTTTTGGGTTTTTTTTTTGGTCTAAAAGCAACAAGTTTTTGTATTTCCCACCTGCATCCAGAGTTTTTTATGGAAAACTGATAATTTTCAACTTTGAAGCAAGCAGGTCCAAAATATTGGGAATTTGTGGAAAAAAATGGTGGAAATTTGTGGAGGTGTCAGTGATGGGGTTGGGGCAGCACCAGAATATAACAGATTTGGCCTCATTTTGATCTCAGGCAGGAAGGGATGTGGTGAGAGGTTGGACTCTGATCCTGAGGAATGTTCCTGTGGGATCCTCAGGGACCAAGGTGGATTTTGGGGCATTAAAATCAGAATTTGAGGCAAAAATCAATGTTTAGGCCAGGTATTCCCAAAAATCTTTGTGTCCTGGGTGTTTTTTTAGGACAAAATTCCCAGTTCTGCTCTGGGATAGGCGGAGTCTGACCCCGCTGCTGTTCCCTTTCAATTCTGATTTCCCAAATCCTCAAAATCTCGAAGGATTTTATGGATGTTCCATGGAGCAGCTTCATTTTCCACTTGGAATTGCATTCTGTGGGAATAACAAAGCGGGATTTGTGGGATTCCTCCTCCAAACGCTTCACGTTTTGGATGGAGCAGATTTCTTGGAATAGCAACGATTCCTTCATCCTCAGTCCCATCACGTCTGGAATGAAGTGGATTTGAAACATTCCCAGCACAAGGGATGGGATTTATCCTTATTTTTATCCACTTTTGTTCCCCAAATCCGTTCAAAGTTGGGGGTGACGCCTCCTTGGACCTCGAATCTGTGAAATCCTTGGGATTTTCAGTTTTCCTGAAGATTTGCACTCGGAATTCCTTTATTGGACACTTTGCTCCGCCACCTTCTGCTTCCAGGATTTCTTGGTGGTGATCCGTGAGTGAGAGGAGGTTGGGGTGGAATTAGGGAAGGTGGGAATGGAGGAGTTCAGATGGAATTTTTCTTCTCACCAAGATTTATGGGAAGAGATCCTATAATTTTAGGGAAAGGATTTCTCTGGATCCCAGGAAAAATCGTGGCTGCTCCATCCCTGGAATGTCCAAATCCAGATGGGGCTTGGAGCAACCTGGGATAATGGGGTCATCTTTAGGTTCCCTTCCAACCCAGCCATTCCATGATAATTCCATGGGCAGTGGATTATTCCCAAAGAGTGGGAAGCACCAGGAACGAGACAAAAAGGAGGAAAATCCATAAATCCAGAGGGCTTTGGCTGGTGAGGACCTGGCAAGGAGAAGAAGATTCCCAAAAGTCTTGCATCAGCAGCTGGAGGGATTTGGGAGCCAAAACCTCTCCTTGGCACCATGGATTTGGAATTCTGGGAGTCAAATTCCCTTTTTGTTCCCACCGAGTTTTCCTTGAGGAACAGCTTTGGTTCATCCTGGTGAAATTGAAGCCTGGAAAAATCCGGATCTTTGGGAATGGGATTGCTTAGGGATTGCCTGGAATTTGGGAAAACCTGCTTGGAATGCTGAAATTGCTGCTTTATCCACGTGGGAATTATTCCATCATCCTGACTCTTCAGATCCATTATTTTATATTAATTATTCCGTGTTTGATTGGAATTTGTGATCTAAGAGCAGCTGGAAGTTGATTTTTTTTTCCCAGGGATATTTAATAATTATCATTGCTGATGTTCCACCTTGAAGAATTCCAGAGTTTTCCAAGGAAATCCCTTCTCTGTAGAAAACTGCCTCCTTTTTTTCCCAGCTCCCTGTCAATATTCCCAGTTAAACCCAAGTTTAGGTATTTTTATATGGAATGAAATCCTGTTTTTATCAGATTTTTTAAACTATAAAGGAGCGTGAAAAACATCCCGAGGCTCTGGAATGACCTTTGAGCTGTGACATGATGGGAACTGAACATTCCCAGAGCTCCAGGCACGGAAATTCCGTGCTGGGAATGAGGTTGGATGTGGAGATGCCACATTTTGAGGGAGCTGGAATTGTTCATGGATGTGACAGCAAACCATGGATTTATTCCCTTTCATTCCAATTTTTTTGGAGCAGCCTCTGGTGATCCACGTGCTGCTGCCGTCCCCGGCGTGGGGGTGGGTTAATTGAAGAATTAATCGATTTAATGAAGTGATTGAATTAATTAATGTAATCAATTGATTGAATTAATCAATTTAATTGAGGCTCTCGTTCTGGAGCAGTGATAATCAGCTTTTAACCTCCTGCCTGAATTCCATGGAAATTTGACTTTTCCGAGGTAAAAATGGGCTGGGAAGTGAAAAACCAGCTCCAAGGGATTGGGATGGTCTCGGGGTTTTCCACCCTGATCCCACTTTTCCCAATGTTCTTTTTTCCCCCAGGATTGGATCCTGCACCAGAACAACCCCGCCCACCTTGAGAGCTGCCGCAGGCTGCGCCAACAGTAAGGGATCCGCTGGGGATCCATCTGGGATCCACTGGGGATCTGCTGGGAATCCATTGGGGATCTACCAGGGAATCCATTGGGAACCCACTGGGGATCTGCTGGGAATCCATTGGGGATCTACCAGGGAATCCATTGGGAACCCACTGGGGAATCCATTGGGGATCCACCGGGGAATCCATTGGGGATCCACTGGGGATCTGCTGGGAATCCATTGGGAACCCACTGGGGAATCCATTGGGGATCTGCTGGGAATCCATTGGGAACCCACTGGGGAATCCATTGGGGACCCACTGGGGAATCCCTTGGGGATCCACTGGGGATCTGCTGGGAATCCATTGGGAACCCACTGGGGAATCCATTGGGGATCCACCGGGGATCTGCTGGGAATCCATTGGGAACCCACTGGGGCATCCATTGGGGATCTGCTGGGAATCCATTGGGAACCCACTGGGGCATCCATTGGGGATCTGCTGGGAATCCATTGGGAACCCACTGGGGCATCCATTGGGGATCTGCTGGGAATCCATTGGGAACCCACTGGGGCATCCATTGGGGATCTGCTGGGAATCCATTGGGAACCCACTGGGGCATCCATTGGGGATCTGCTGGGAATCCATTGGGAACCCACTGGGGCATCCATTGGGGATCTGCTGGGAATCCATTGGGAACCCACTGGGGCATCCATTGGGGATCTGCTGGGAATCCATTGGGAACCCACTGGGGAATCCATTGGGGATCTGCTGGGAATCCGTTGGGGACCCACTGGGGAATCTATTGGGGATCCACGGGGATTCCGCTGGGAATCATGGAATTCTGGAGAGGGACCTTAAATCCCAACAGTTCCACCCCATCCATGGGCTGGGACACCTGCCACAATCCCAGGTGGATCCAGGTCCATCCCAGCCTGGCCTTGGACACTGCCAGGGATCCAAGGGCTGGGAATTCCTGGGATTTCCTGGGAATTCCAGCCCAGCCAGGGATTCCTTGCCAAGATCCCAGCCCAATCTCCCCTTTGCCAGTGGGAGCCATTCCCTGTGTGCTGTCCCTGCAGGCCTTGTCCCAAACTCCAGCTCTCCTGGAGCCCCTTCAGGGACTCTGAGCATTCCCTGGAATTTCCCTTCTCCAGGAGAACATTCCCAGCTCTCCCAGCCTGGCTCCAGAGCAGAATCCTGGAATTGTGTTGGGAATGACCCTAAATCCCACCCATTCCCACCTTCCCCTATCCCAGGTTGCTCCAAGCCCTGTCCAGCCTGGCCTTGGACACTTCAGCATTTCCCTGGATTCTCCCCCCATCCCAAGAAATGTTTTGGGATTTTAAACACCCATTGGGATCCAGTCCTGAATCACCCCAAAAATCACAGCTCCCCTTTGGAATCCCTCAGAGTTTTCCCTGGAATTTTCCCCTCTCCAGGTGAACATTCCCAGTTCTCCCAGAGCCAGGGAGCTCCAAAATCCTGGAATGGTTTGGGGTGGGAAGAACCTGGAATCCCATCCAGGGACATTCCCACCATCCCAATTCCCATCCAACCTCACTTGGACAAACAGAAATCAACGTTTGGTGCTTTTGAGGTCCCAAATGGGAATACTTATCCAGAAAAATCCCTTTTTTTTAGGGAATTTTGGCTTTTCCACTGACACTTTTCCCTTTGTCATCAACAGATATCCCGAGTGGAATCCTGAGGCTCACTCCTCCAGCAGGTACCTTGTGATTTTCATTCCTTCCCCAAATTGCTCATTAATTAATTAATTAATTTTAACCATTTCTTGCCTGATTTGCCCTCTCCAACCCCTCTCTGCAAGGTCACATTTTTATTATAAAATTTCAGGGCCTTTTTATAGGATTTTGTCCCAAATTCCATAGAATTCCAAGCTGGTTTTTGGTTGGAGGTACCTTAAATTCCACATATTTTTATCCATTTTTCCCAGTTTTTCTATTTTTCCTGTTTTTTTTCGAGTTTTTTCCAGTTTTTCCCATTTTTCCAGTTTATCTAGTTTAGTCCAGTTTAGCCCATTTTTCCCCAGTTTCTCCATTTTTCCACTTTTATTCAATTTTATGTCTTTTATTCCCATTTGATCCCATTTAATCCAGTATTTCCATTTTTCCAAATTTCCTCAATTTTTCTCTATTTTTTCCAGTTTTTTCTAGATTTTTCCAGTTTACTCCAGATTAGTCCAGTTTGGTAGTTTTGTCCATTTTTCCATTTTTTCCAGTTTAGTCCTGTTTCATCCAGTTTTATCCCTTTTTTTCCAGTTTCATCCATTTAAGTCCATTTTTCCCCTCATTTTCCCCCCATTTTTTTCCATTTTTTTTCTATTATTTTTCCTTTTTTTCCCATTTTTAAATTTTTTCCCTTTTTTCCATGTTTTCATTTTTTCTTTTTTTATTCCATTTTTAAATTTTTTTTTCCCCATTTTCTTCCAGTTTTATCCCTTTCACTCCAGTTTGATCCCTTTAAGTCCCATTCAATCTTTTTTTCCCGTTTTTTCCAGTTTTATCCATTTTTTCCAGTTTTATCCAATTTACTCCAGTTTTGCCCAGTGTTTTCCCATTTTTACCCAGTTCTTTCTCACTTCTTCCTTTCCCCATAAATCCCACATCTCCCTTTTCCCAAACTCCTTTTCCCCACAAATCTCTCTTTTTCCACAAATCTCCCTTTTCCCATCTCCTTTTTCCCAAACTCCCTTTTCCCACAAATTCCACATCTCCCTTTTCCCAAACTCCTTTTTCCCACAAATCTCCCTTTTTCCCACAAATCTCCCTTTTTCCCACAAATCTCCCTTTTCCCCACAAATCTCCTTTTCCCAAACTCCTTTTCCCCACAAATCTCCCTTTCCCCAAACTCCCTTTTCCCACCAATCTCCCATCTCCCTTTTCCCCAACTCCCTCTTTCCCCACAAATCTCCTTTTCCCAAATCTCCCTTTTCCCACCAATCTCCCTTTTCCCAAACTCCCTTTTCCCAAAAATCCCACATCTCCCTTTTCCCAAACTCCCTTTCCCCACAAATCTCCCATCTCCCTTTTCCCCAACTCCCTTTCCCCAAACTCCCTCTTTCCCCACCAATCCCCATCTCCCTCCCCCAATCCCAACTCTCCTTTCTCATCCCGCCTTTCCCAACCCCGTTACTATTCCCACCCATCCCACCCATCCGCCCTCCCCAGGGGCAGCCCCCGGCCGCGGAGATCGCCCGGCGCCGAGCGCGCCCGCCGCTCCAGCCGCTCCGAAGGTCACTGCCGCCCGCCCGCCGAGGGAGCTTTGGGAATGCTGCGGCGTTCCCAAAGCTTGCCTCGCCCGAATTTTGGGAATTCCATGGGATTCATGATGGTTTTGTGATCCCCGATCAGAATTTTGGGAATTCTCACTGGAATTCCCAAAGTTTTCTTCACCCCCAATGGGAATTCTGGTAATTCGATGGGATTCATGACGGTTTTTTGATCCCTGATCAGAATTTTGGGAATGCTGCGGCGTTCCCAAAGTTTTCCTCGCCCGAATTTTGGGAATTCGCTGGGATTCATGATGGTTTTTTGATCCGTGATCAGAATTTTGGGAATGGTCAATGGGATTCCCAATGGGAATTTCGGGAATGCTCAGTGGGATTCCTGTTGGTTTTTCACCCTCAAAGGGAATTTTGGGAATGATCAGTGGGATTCCCAAAGTTTTTTCCACCTCCAATGGGAATTTTGGGAATTCGCTGGGATTCATGATGGTTTTTTGATCCCTGATTAGAATTTTGGGAATGCTCAGTGGAATTCCCAAAGTTTTCTTCACCCCCAATGGGAATTCTGGGAATTCGCTGGGATTCACGATGGTTTTTTGATCCCTGATCAGAATTTTGGGAATGTTCAGTGGCATTCCCAATGGGAATTCCAGGAATGCTCAGTGGGATTCCTGTTGGTTTTTCACTCCAAGTGGGAATCTTGGGAATGATCAGTGGGATTCCCAAAGGTTTTTCATCCCTTATCAGCATTTTGGGAATGCTCAGTGGGATTCCCAAAGGTTTTTCATCCCTTATTGGAATTTTGGGAATGCTCAGTGGGATTCCCAAAGGTTTTTCATCCCTTATTGGAATTTTGGGAATGCTCAGTGGGATTCCTGATGGGAATTTTGGGAATGCTCAATGGGATTCCCAAAGGTTTTTCATCCCTTATTGGAATTTTGGGAATGCTCAGTGGGATTCCTGATGGGAATTTCGGGATTGCTCAGTGGAATTCCCAAATTTTCACCCCTAATTGCAATTTTGGCAACGCTCAACGGGTTTTCCCGAAGTTTTTTTTCGCTCCCAATGGGAATTTTGGGATTCCCAGGATTTTTTTTAGGGATAAATGAAATAAATGGGGAATGCTCCGACCAGTAACCGACCTGTGGGTTCTCCGCAGCCGTGCAGCAGCCGGGCATTAATTAAGGACTAATTAAGGACTAATTAAAGCACCCTGAGCAGCCCAGGAAGGCTCCGAGCTAGTAAGTACTGTGGGCTCAGAGAGCAGCAGGGAATTCCCAAAGGATTCCAAAAAAATTCCAAAAAAATCCCATTAAAAAAAAAAAAAAATCCTTTTCCCCTCAAAATCTTCCCCAAAAAATTCCCCTTTTATTCCTCAAAATTCCCCAAAAAATCAAAAAAAATCCCATTTTTTTTCCATTCCTTCCTAGGAAGCCAGGCCAAATCTGATTTTTTTTTTTTTGTGGAGAAAAATTCCAAAAAAATTCCTGTTTTTTCTACCAAAATACCCAAAAAAATCCCCCAAAATCCTGGGTTTTTTTCCCCAATAAATTCCCTTTTTTCCCTCAAAAGAATCCCAAAAAAATTCCCAAAAAGTCCTGGGTTTTTTTCCCAAAATCCCAACAATTTGCCAAAAAATGCCCAAAAATTCCTGGGTTTTTCCCAAAATTAAAAACAAAAAAAAACCCAACAAATTCTTAGATTTTTTTTTCCCAAAAAATTCCTGGGTTTTCCCCAAAATTAAAAAAAAAATCCCAACAAATTCCTGGATTTTTTTAAAAAAAATTCCTGGGTTTTTCCCCCAAAAATAAAAAAAAATTCCAAACAAATCCCCAAAAAAATTTTTAAAAATTCAGTTTTTTCCCAAAATACCCAAAAAAAAAAAATTCCAACAAATTCCTGATTTTTTTCCAATAAACTCCTGTTTTTTCCCGCAGAAGAATCCCAAAAACATTCCCCTTTTTTTTCCCAAAATCCCAAAAATTTCCAAAAAAAATCCCACAAAATTCCTGGGTTTTCCCCAAAAATTCCCAAAAATATTCCTGGTTTTTCCCCAAAATTAAAAAAAAAAATCTCAACAAATTCATGGGTTTTTTTTCCCCAAAAAAATTAAAAAATAATTTAAAAATTTTTAAAAAAACATTTAAAAATTCAGTTTTTTTCCCAAAAAAAATCCACCAAAAAATTCACTTTTTTTTTTTTTTCCCCCCAAAATTCACATTTTTTCCCAAAATTCCCAAAATATCCCTGAAATATTCCCATTTTTTTTCCCCAACCCCACCAACGCCCGCTCTGCTCCCGCAGCCAGGAAAGCCGCTCTGGAGGCCGTGATGAAAACGCTGGGGCCGGGATTCCTGGCAGAATTCCAGAAGCACAAATCCCTGCAGGCGGCCGTCCAGGAGTCCCTGAGCTCCGGGAAACCCCACGGAATTCCCAAGAAAACCTCCAGGAGCATCCCGAAAAATCCCCGGAAGGAGGGAGGGGCGGGACCCAGCTCTGCCCCGGAAGGCCGAGGGGCGACCCCGAAAAAAGAGAGGGAGGAGGAGGAGGAATCGTCCGGGAAGAGTCAGCCCTACAACAGGGTGGGTTTGGGAATTCCGGGGGGTTGGGAATTCCGGGGGTTTGGGGGGGTTTGGGAATTCCGGGTGTTTGGGGGGGGTTGGGAATTCCGGGGGTTTGGCAGGAATTCCTGGGGTTTGGTGGGAATTCCGAGGGGTTTGGGGGTTTTTGGGAATTCCTGGGGTTTGGGTAGGGTGTGACTTCAGGGAAGTTGTTCCATGGCGGAATTCCTGCCAGGATGCACGTGGGAATTCTGGAATTCTGTATGGGAAGGGATTTTGAGATGATTTATTCCACAATCCAGTCCAACCTTTCCTTGGAATTCTGGAATTCCGTCAAGATTTATTTCACAATTCCAACAATTCTAGTCCAGCCTTTCCTTGGGCACTCCCAGACAGGAAAAAATCCTGGAATTTTGGAATTCCATCATGATTTATTCCACAATCCCAGGTAGCTCCAATTCCAATCCAGCCTTTCTTTGGACACTTCCAGGGATGAAAAAATCCTGGAATTCTGTCAGGATTTATTCTACAGTTCCCACAATTCCAGGTTTCTCCAATCCAAATCCAGCATTTCCTTGGAATTACAGATTTCCATCAAGATTTATTCCTCAATCCCAGGTGGCTCCAATTCCAATCCAACTTTTCCTTGGACACTTCCAGGGATGAAAATTCCTGGAATTCCATCAGGATTTATTCCACAATCCCAACCTTCCAATCCAAGGTGGCTCAAATCCATCATTTCCTTGGATGAAAAATTTCTGGAATTCCATCACTATTTATTCCACAATCCCAGGTGGCTCCAGTCCAACCTTTCCTTGAACGCTCCCAGGGATGAAAAAATCCTGGAATTCTGGAATTCCATCGTGATTTATTCCACAATCCCAGGTGGCTCCAATCCAACCTTTCCTTGGACCTCTGTAGGGATGAAAAAAACCTGGAATTCTGGAATTCCATCATGATTTATTCCCCAATCCCAGGTGGCTCCAATCCAACCTATCCTTGGACACTTCCAGGGATGAAAAAATCCTGGAATTCTGGAATTCCGTCGTGATTTATTCCACAGTCCCAGGTGGCTCCAATCCAACCTTTCCTTGGACTTCTGTAGGGATTAAAAAAACCTGGAATTCTGGAATTCCATCGTGATTTATTCCACAATCCCAGGTGGCTCCAATCCAACCTATCCTTGGACACTTCCAGGGATGAAAAAATCCTGGAATTCTGGAATTCCGTCGTGATTTATTCCACAGTCCCAGGTGGCTCCAATCCAACCTTTCCTTGGACCCTTGTAGGGATGAAAAAATCCTGGAATTCTGGAATTCCGTCGTGATTTATTCCACAGTCCCAGGTGGCTCCAATCCAACCTTTCCTTGAACACTTCCAGGGATGAAAAAATCCTGGAATTCTGGAATTCCATCAGGATTTATTCCACAATCCCAGGTGGCTCCAATCCAACCTTTCCTTGGACACTTCCAGGGGTGAAAATTCCTGAAATTCCATAATGATTTATTCCACAATTCCCACAATCCCAGGTGGCTCCAGTCCAGTTTTTCCTTGGACACTCCCAGGGATGGAAGGTCCTGGAATTCCATCAGGATTTATTCCACAATTCCAACAATCCCAGGTGGCTCCAGTCCAACCTTTCCTTGAACACTCCCAGGTATGAAAAAATCCTGGAATTCTGGAATTCCATCAAGATTTATTCCACAATTCCCACAATCCCAGGTGGCTCCAGTCCAGTTTTTCCTTGGACACTCCCAGGGATGGAAGGTCCTGGAATTCCATCAGGATTTATTCCACAATCTCAGGTGGCTCCAACCCAACCTTTCCTTGAACACTCCCAGGGATGAAAAAATCCTGGAATTCTGGAATTCCACCCATCTTTCCTCCACAATCCCCAATCCCTCCCAGCAGTGCCAAAACCCATCAGAATTCCGAATTTCCGCAATTCTCTCGGTGTTTGCAGCTGCTGAGGGAGGAGCTGCTGAGCTGCGGCACCGTGCTGCAGATCTCGGATCTGCCGGATTCGGGATTTTCCGACCAGGACATCAAGAAGCTGGTGCAGCCCTTCGGGAAGGTCAGCGACCTCATCGTGCTGCGCTCCCGCAACGAGGTGAGCCCGGAACGGCATCGGGATCGGGGCTCAGCATTCCCGGGGATCCCGCCAGGACTGGGGACTCTGTGGGATTTTGTGGATTTTTTTTCCTCTTTTTCCCCTTTCCTGTTCCCCCTTCTCTTTTTCCTCTGTTTTCTCTCTTTTCCATCATTTTTCCTTTTTCCCCCTTCTTTTCCCACCCTTTATTTCCCATTCTCCCCCCTTATCCCCTTCCCTTTTCTCCATTTTTCCCCCTTTTTGCATTTTTCCCCCTTTCCTCTTTTATTCCCTTTTATTCCCATTTTTCCCGTTGTTCTCCCTTTATTTTCCTTTCTCCCCTTGGTTTTCCTTCCTTTCCCTTCCTTTTCCCTTCCTCCCCCTCTCTTTTCCTCATTTTCCCCCTTATTTTCCTCTCCTTTTTCCCATTTTTTTCCCCTTTTTTCCCTTTTTTTTTCCTTTTTTCCCCCCCTTTTTTCCCCCCTTTTTCCCCTTTTTCCCCTTTTTTTCCCCTTTTTTTCCCCCCCTTTTTCCCCTATTTTTCCATTTTTTCCCCCTTTTTCCCCCTTTTTTCCCCCTTTTTTTCCCCTCTTTTTTCCCCTTCTTCCCCTTCTATTTTCCCCTTGTCCTCCCTTTGTTTTCCTTTTTTCCTTCCTTCCCCTTCATTCTCCTTTTCTCCCTTTTCCCTTCCCCCTCCTTTTTCCCTCTGTTCTCCCTTTATTTTCCTTTTCCCATTTTCCCTTCCTTCTCCCTTTTTCCCCTTTCCCTTTTCCTCCTTCTTCCCTTTCCCCTCCACTCTTGGATTCCCTCCCTGCAATTCCCAATCCCGGCCGGATTTCCCTCCCACAGACCTCCCCCCTAACGCCGGGAATTCCGGGAATTCCGGCATTCCCTGTGTTCCAGGCCTACCTGGAGATGAACTACAAGGAGGCCGTGATCGCCGCCGTCAAGTTCGGGGAGACGGCGCCGGTGCTGCTCAACGGGAAACGCGTCCGGATCAGCGTGGCCGAGAGGGCCCAGGTGGGAGCGGGAATTCCCACTGGGAATTCTGACTGGGAGCAGGGAATCCAGCCTGCAATCCGGGAATTCCCACCGGGAATTACAGGTGGGAGTGCAGATTCCAGCCAAGAGCGGGAATGTTGGCCGGGAATGGCGTCTGGAAAATGAGGGTGGGAGCAGCAATTCCCAGTGGGAATTCCAGCCAGAAATTCCAACTGGGAATTCTGACCAGGAGTGCCAATTCCAGCTGATCTGGAAGATGAGGGTGGAGCAGAAATTCCCAGTGGGAATTCCAACCAGAAATTCCAACTGGGAATTCTGACCAGGAGTACCAATTCCAGTTGGGAATTCCAGCTGGGAGAGGAATTCCCAGCCGGGAATTCCAACTGGGAATTCTGACCAGGAGTACCAATTCCAGTTGGGAATTCCAGCTGGGAGAGGAATTCCCAGCCGGGAATTCCAACTGGGAATTCTGACCAGGAGTACCAATTCCAGTTGGGAATTCCAGCTGGGAGAGGAATTCCCAGCCGGGAATTCCAACTGGGAATTCTGACCAGGAGTACCAATTCCAGTTGGGAATTCCAGCTGGGAGAGGAATTCCCAGCCGGGAATTCCAACTGGGAATTCTGACCGGGAGCGGCAGTTCTGACCAGGAGTGGGAATTCCAGCCCAGGATCTGGGAATTCCAACCAGGAATCCCAGCAAGGAATTCCAACTGCAAATGCCAACTGGGAATTCCACCCAGGAATTTGATCAGGAATTCCAACCAGGAATTCCAACTGGGAGTGGCAATGCCAGATGGGAATTCCGTCCTAGTCTGGGAATTCCAACTGGGAATAGAATGAGGGTGAGAGCTGGAATTCCAGCTGGGAATTCCAACCAGGAGAGGGAATTCCAGCTGAGAACGAGAATTCCATCCTAGGTTCTGGGAATTCCAACTTGGGAGCAGGAATTCCAGTGGGGAATTGCAGTCAGGAATTTCAATTGGGAGTAGGAATTCCAGCCAAGAATTCTAACTGGGAATTTTAGCCAGGAGAGGGAATTCCAACTGGGAATTCTGACCAGGAGTACCAATTCCAGGTGGAAATTCCAGCTGGGAGAAGAAATTCCAGCTGGGAATTATGACTGGGAGTGGCAGTTCTGACCAGGAGTGGGAATTCCAGCCCAGGAGCAGGAATTTCAGCCAGGAATTCCAACTGGGAGCAGGAATTCCAGATGGAAATTCCAATCCAGAGAGGGAATTCCAGCCTGGAATCTGGGAATTCCAGCCCAGGATTTGAGAATTCCAACTGGGAGCAGGAAATTCCAGCTGGGATTTTCAACCAGGAGCAGGAATTCCATCCTGGAATCCACAAATTCCAAGCTAGGAGAGGGAATTCCAGTCAGGATCTGGGAATTCTGTCCAGGAATCCGGGAATTCCAGCTGGGAATTCATCCAGAAATGGGGGTGGAGTGGGAATTGCAGCCAGAGCTATTAATTAATTATTCCACTGAAGTGTTAATGATTATTAAGCTTCTTTTTCATACATTTATAGATACACACACACTAATAAATTAAATTAATTTAAACTAATTAACAAACTTAATTATTAACAACTATTATTAATCCAGTTCCATGTATTTGTTAATATAATCATACATTGATTAATAAAATCTAAATGAAAATTTAAGTAACAATGGCCATAATTCATATTTTATAATGGCTTAATTAGCATTAATTAATTAGAATTAATAGTTCTATTTCATGTCAATTATTAATAAATCCCAAATTTTTTTTCCGCTTCCAGGCGAAAAAAACGGTGAAAAAACGAGTCCTGAACCCCAAAAAAACTCCAACAATCACCAAGTAAGACCCTCATTAATTAATTAATGTTAATTACAATAATTGGGCACCCAAGGGGCTCAAACCTTGGGCTTTAATTTGGGTTAATAATTAATAATTATTAATTAAATTGATTTTTTGGTGTCTTTTTTACCCTCCCAGGAAAGTTCCAAGCACCAACACCAAGAGCCCCAAAGTCCTGACAGGTGAGGTTGATCATCTTTAACTAATTAATAATTCATTAGTGATTCATTCTCAACTGACCAGCCTAATTAATAATTTAATTGGTTTCATTATTTCTAATTTCTTTGGCTTTTAATAAAAATTATTGGTGCCAAGTCATCGTTTTGCTTTTATTTCTCAGCTCATTTAATTATTAATTAATTAACTAATGACATATTAATTAGTCAGCGTAATTAATTATTCATTAATTGGCTGCATTATTTTTAATTCTGTTGGGTTTTAACAGGGAAATCATGGATTTTCTTCCATTCCTGAGCTGGGGTTTTGGATTAATTTCAATTTTGGGATTATTTACCCAAAAAAAAAAATCTGAATTTCTCCCCCAGAATCCCCAAATTTTTTTTTTCCAAAAAATCCCTCCCTTTTCTCCCAAAAATTAATTTTTTCCCCCCAAATCCTTCTAAAATCCACTTTTTTTTTCTACCTAAAATCCACATTTGCCCCTAAAATCTTCCCTTTTTTGCCCCCAAAATTTGCCTGGATTTAATTTAAATTTTGGGAATATTTTTGCCTCCAAAATCCCACAGAATTAATTTAAATTTTGAGTTTCTTTAACCCCAAAAAATCCAAATTTTTTCCCCCGAAAATCCCCATCTTTCTTTCCATAAATTGCCCTGGATTTAATTTAAATTTTGGGATTTTTACCCTAAAAAAATCCAGAATTTTTCCCCCCAAATCCCTTTTCTTTTTGCTCCAATCCCTGGAATTCCTTGGATTTTTTTGGAATTTTGTTCCCTTGGGAAGGAATCGTTGATGGGAATTGGGAATTCCGGGGTTTTTGGGGGATTTTTTTGTAGGGAAAAAGGAAAAAGTGAAGAAAACTCTGGGAGAGAAGAAAGTGAAGAAAGCCCCAGATGAGGAAGGTGAGGGGGAAATGGGGAAAAATTGGGAAAAATGGAAAAAATGCCTCAGAAAATGGGGGGAAATGGGAAAAAAAACTTTGGAAAATGGGAAAAGGTCTTGGGAAAACGAGAAGAGAAAATAGCAGGAAAAAAACCTTGGGAAAACGGAAAAAAAGCTCTGGAAAATGGGGAAAAATCTTGGGGAAAAGGGGGAAAAATTGGAGAAATGGGGAAAAATCTTGGGGAAGAACGTGGGGAAAAGGGGAAGAAATTTGGGAAAACAAGAAAGTGAAATTTGGGAAAATAGGAAGAGAAAATGGAAAAAAAAATCTTCTGAAAATGGGAAAAACATTGGGAAAATGGGGGGAAAAACTTGGAAAAAATTAGAAAAGAAAATGGAAGAAAACTTTAGAAAATGGGGAAAAAATGGGGAAAAAGCCTTGGAGAAACAGGGAAAAAAAAAACTTGGGAAAATAGGGAAAAAATCTTGGGAACATGGGAAAAGAAAATGGGAAAGAAAAAACACTTGGGAAAATGGGGGAAAAAACCTTGGGAAAATGGGGGAAAAACCTTGGGAAAATGGGGGAAAAAAACCTTGGGAAAATGGGGGGAAAAACCTTGGGAAAATGGGGGGAAAACCTTGGGAAAATGGGGGAAAAACCTTGGGAAAATGGGGGGAAAACCTTGGGAAAATGTGGAAAAATGGGGGAAAAAACTGAGAAAATGGGAAAAAACCCTCAGGTAAACAGGAAAAAAAAACCTTGGGAAAATGGGGGAAAAAAACCTTGGGAAAATGGGGGAATAAACCTTGGGAAAATGGGGGGAAAAAACCTTGGGAAAATGGGGAAAAAATGGGAAAAAACCTGAGAAAATGGAAAAAAACCTCAGGTAAACAGGAAAAAAAACCTTGGGAAAATGGGAAGGAAAAACATGGGGGTGAAAACTTGGAAAAACGAAGAGAAAATGTTGGGAAAATGAGGAAATCATGGCAAAAAACCTTTGGAAAATGGTGAAGAGAAAATGTCGGGAAAATGAGGAAATCATGGCCAAAAACCTTTGGAAAATGGGTTTAGGAAGGGAAACGAGCCCTGTACCAATCTCCAGTGGCAAAAAACCTTTGGAAAATGGATTTAGGAAGGGAAACGAGCCCTGTACCAATCTCCAGGCGCTGGTTTTTCCCCCTCAGGAAAAGCAACGGGTGAAGATTCCGGGACTCCGGCCGAGGCCGGGCCGGAAATTCCGGGATCGGAGCCCTCGGATGCCAACAATCCCCATGCCAACAATCCCCATCCCAACAATCCCCATCCCAACAATCCCCATCCCAACAATCCCCATCCCAACAATCCCCATCCCAACAATCCCCATCCCAACAATCCCCATCCCAAATCCTCCCCGGAGCACGACGGGCTGGAGGACCCCGGGACAACCCTGGAGGCAGGGCCAGGTAATTCCAGGGAATTCATGGAATTCTTTAGAGTTGGGGGGGATCCAAAGCTGGGGTGGTTTTGGGAGGAAAAAAATCCTTTGGAAATAAGGGATAAAAGGAAGTTTGGGAATTCCCGAAATCCCTGGGGAATTTGGGAATGCTGTAGGATTCAGCTGTTCCTTTTCCCCGTTTTCAGAGCCTGCGGTGAGCGAGGAACCCTCGGATCCAGGCGGGAAGGTCAGCGGGGTTCGGGAATTTGGGGATTTTGGGGATTTGGGAACTGTGAGGATTGTGGGGATTTGGGAGAAGGAGGGAATTGTGGGGTCTTGGAAATTTGGGGATTTTGGGGATTTGAGAACTGTGGGGATTGTGGGGATTTGGGAGAAGGAGGGAATTGTGGGGACTTGGAAATTTGGGAATTTTGAGAATTGTGGGAACACTGGGAATTTCCCTGCTTTCCCAATGATTCCCAGCAATCCCAACCTCCAGCCCCTTTGGCTCCATCCCATCCCACCCCACAATTCCCACTGGAAACTCCCCAGTCCCAAACCCCATAAAGTCCCTTTGGGATGGAACGGGAGCTCTGGGATTGGGATTCCCTTTGGGATGGGAACAGCAAGCGCTGGGCTCTGAGATCGGGGTTGGAATTCCTTTTGGGATGGATTTGGGAGCTCTGGGATTGGGATTGCGATTCCCTTTGGGATGAGAACAGGAGCTGTGGGATTGGGATCAGGATGGGAACAGTGGGAACAGCAAGCTGTGGGATCAGGATTGGAATTCCCTTTGGGATGAGAACGGGAGCTCTGGGATCGGGATCAGGATTCCCATTGGGGTGGGAACGGTGAGCTCTGGGATCGGGATTGGGATTGGGATTCCTTTTGGGATGGAAATGGTGAGCTCTGGGATCGGGATCAGGATTCCCTTTGGGATGGGAGCAGCGGGAGCAGGAGCTGTGGGATCGGGATGGAGATGGGAATTCCCTTTGGGATGGGAGCAGGAGCTGTGGGGTCGGGATCGGGATTCCCTTTGGGATGGGAGCAGGAGCTGTGGGGTCGGGATTCCCTTTGGCCTTTGGGATGAGAATGGGAGCTCTGGCATCGGGATGGGAATTCGGATTGGGATTCCCTTTGGGATGGGAACAGGAGCTCTGGGATTTGGATCAGGATGGGAACAGTGGGAACAGCAAGCTGTGGGATCAGGATTGGAATTCCCTTTGGGATGAGAACGGGAGCTCTGGGATCGGGATCAGGATTCCCATTGGGGTGGGAACGGTGAGCTCTGGGATCGGGATTGGAATTGGGATTCCTTTTGGGATGGAAATGGTGAGCTCTGGGATTGGGATCAGGATTCCCTTTGGGATGGGAACAGTGGGAACAGGAGCTGTGGGATCAGGATTGGAATTCCGTTTGGGATGAGAATGGGAGCTCTGGGATCGGGATTGGAATTCGGATTGGGATTCCCTTTGGGATGGGAACAGGAGCTCTGTGATTGGGTTTGGGATTGGGATTGGGATTCCCTTTGGGATGGGAACAGCGGGAACAGGAGCTGTGGGATTGGGATGAAGATGGGAATTGCCTTTGGGATGGGAAGAGGAGCTCTGGGCTGTGGGATCAGGATTGGGATTCCCTTTGGGATGGGAACAGCGGGAGCAGGAGCTGCGGGATCGGGATTGGGATTCCCTTTGGGATGGGAACAGCGGGAGCAGGAGCTGTGGGATCGGGATCGGGATCGGCATTCTCTTCGGGATGGGAGCGGCGGGAGCAGGAGCTGTGGGATCAGGATCGGGATTCCCTTCGGGATGGGAGCAGGAGCTGTGGGGTCGGGGTCAGGATTCCCTTCGGGATGGGAGCGGCGGGAGCAGGAGCCGCCTTGTGGGGATTGTGGGATTGAGGGAAGTTGGGGAATTTGGGGATTGTGGGAACTGGGGGAGTTGGAAATATGGGGCGTTGTGGGGATTGGGGGGATTGTGGGATTGAGGGAAGGTGGGGAATTTGGGGATTGGGGGGATTGGGGGATTTAGGGATTGTGGGGTTGAGGGAAGTTGGGCAATTTGGGGATTGTAGGAACTGGGGGAGTTGGAAATATGGGGCGTTGTGGGGATTGGGGGATTTGTGGGATTGAGGGATTGAGGGAAGTTGAGCAATTTGGGGATTGTGGGAATTGGGGGAGTTGGAAATTTGGGGCATTGTGGGGATTGGAGGGATTGTGGCAATGTGGGGATTGGGGGATTTGTGGGATTGGGGGAGTTCGGGGAATCTTAGGAGCTGGGGGAATTTGTGGGATCGTGAGATTTGGGGGAAGTTGGAGAATTTTGGGATTGGGGGAATTTGGGAATTTTAGGGGTTGTGGGATTGAGGGAAGTTGGGGAATTTGGGGATTGTGGGAATTTGTGGGGAGTTGGAAATTTTGGGATTGGGGGATTGTGGCAATGTGGGGATTGGGGGATTTGTGGGATTGAGGGATTGAGGGAAGTTGGGGAATTTGAGGGATTGTGGGAATTGGGGGGAGTTGGAAATATGGGGCGTTGTGGGGATTGGGGGAATTGTGGGATTGGGGGAACTGGGGGAGTTGTGGGGATTGGAGGAATTGGGAATTTTAGGGATTGTGGGATTGAGGGAAGTTGGGGAATTTGGGGATTGTGGGAACTGGGGGAGTTGGAAATATGGGGCATTGTGGGGATTGGGGGGATTGTGGCAATGTGGGGATTGGGGAAATTAGGGAATTTTAGGGATTGTGGGATTGAGGGAAAGTGAGCATTTTGGGAATTGTGGGGATTTAGGAGTTGGGGAAATTGGAAAATTTTGGGATTGTAGGAATTGGAGAAATTGGGAATTTGTGGGATTGGGGGAAGTTGAGCATTTTGGGAATTGAGGGAAGTTGGGAATTTTAGGGATTGTGGGATTTAGGAAGTTGAGCATTTTGGGAATTGCAGGAATTGGGGGAGTTGTGGGGATTTGGGAATTGTGGGATTGGGGGAAGTTGGGGAATTTGGGAATTGGAATTTTAGGATTTGGGGGAAGTTGGAGAATTTGGGAATTTTGGGGATTGTGAGAACTTGGGAATTTTAGGGATTGTGGGATTTGGGGGGAGTTGGGAGATTGAGGGAAGTTGGAAATTGTGTGAATTTTAGGAATTGGGGGAGTTGGGGGAATTTGGGAATTGTGGGGACTGTAGGAATTGTGAGATTGGGGAGATAGTGGGAATTGTGGGAATGTGAAGAACTGGGGGAATTTGGGGAATGTGGGAATTGGAGGAATTCTGGGAAAAATCCCCAGTTTTCCGCTTCCAACAAGATTTGGGATTTAAACAGAATTTAAACAGAATTTTTATCCTACCTGGTGTTTAAAACTACTTTTTCCCACTGGGAATTGATGGTGGGAAATGTTTTTTTGGATTTTGACACGATGAACACTTTAACTACAATCAATTAATCAGTTATTAATTATTATTAATGAAGTTCCAATCCCTTTTTTCCCCTCCCTAAAGGAAGCAATTTTCATTGCTCTCATCAAGGAGTCCGATCCCAAGGTGAGTTTTTCCTCATTATCCCAAGTTTTTCTCCTCATTGTCCCAAATTTTTTCCTCATTATCCCAATTTTCTTTGGAATTTCATTAACTGGGAGCTGGGAATGCTCATTCCTGAACATTTCAGGTTGGGATAAACCCCACTTTATCCCTGGAGTGGGATTTTTTGGCACTTTGGGGATCCCCCGGGCCCTGTGATCCTTTCAGAATTCCAGGATTAATTCCAAGATTCTCCTCAGGTGCCTCGGAGGTTTTCTCCTTAAAAAAAGTGTGGAAAAGATCAAAATTTATCTCAATTCCAGTTCAAAATTCCAGTCTTTTATAGATGGAGAGAAGTTTTTTTCCCTTCCCCCCCTTTTTTCACTTCCTTTCTCCCCCTAATTTCCTTTTTCCCCACATTTCCCCCTTTTTTCCCTCCTGTTCCTCCTTCCTTCTCTCTTTCCCATTTGTCCCTTTTTCCCTTTGTTTTCTCCTTTCTTTCCCCCCTTTTCCTCCTCTCCCTTTTCCCCCTTTTTCTCTTGTTCCCCCTCCCTTTTCCCCATTTTTTCCCTTTTTCCCCCTTTTCCTATTCTTCCTTCCTTTTTTCCATTCTTTTTTTCCTTCCTTTCCCCCCTTTGTCCATTTCTCCCTTCTTTCCCCTTTTCTCCCTTTTTTTTCTCCTTCCTTTTTTGCCTTTTCCTTGTTTTTCCCTTCCCTTTTAACCTCTTCCCCCCCTTTTTTCCTTCCCCCTTTTTCCCCTTGTTTTCTCCTTCCTTTTTCCCTTCTTTCCCCTTTTTCCCCTTCCCATTTCCTCTTTTCCCCTTATTTCCCATTTTTCCTTTTTTCCCTCTTTTGTTCCATTCCCCCTTTTTCTCCTTTTTTCTCCTTCCTTTTTTCCTTTTTCCCCTTCCCCTCTTTTTCCTTCTTCTCCCCTTTGTTCCATATTCTCCTTTTCTCCTTTTTTCCCCTTCTTCCCCCTTTTTTCTCCTTCCTTTTTTCCTTTTTCCCCTTCCCCTCTTTTTCCTTCTTCTCCTTCTCCATATTCTCCTTTTCTCCTTTTTTCCCCTTCTTCCCCCTTTTTTCTCCTTCTTTTTCCCCCCTTTCCCTCCCTTTTACCCCTCTTCCCCCTTTTTTCTGCTTCCCTTTTTCCCTCTTTTTCCCTTCCCCCCTTCCCTTTTCCTCATTTCTCCTTTATTTCCCCCTTTTTCCCCTCTTTCTCTCCTTTGTTCCTTTTTTCCCTTTCCCCTTTTTCCCCTTCCCTTTTCCTCTTTCCCCCTTATTTCCCATTTTTTCCTTTTTTCCCCTCTTTCACTCCTTTTTTCCATTTCCCCCTCTTTTCCCTTTCCTCCTTCCCCCTTCTTTTCTCTTTCCTTTTTCCCTTCTTTCCCCTTTTTCCTTTTCCTCTTTTCCCCTATATTTTCCATTTTATTCCTTCTTTTCCCCCTTTGTTCCATTTCCCCCTTTCCTCTCTTTCCCCATTTTTTCTCCTTCCCTTTTCCCTTCTTTCCCCTTTCCCCCCTTCCCTTTTCCTCCTTTCCCCTTTCATTTTAATCCCTCTTTTCCCCCCCTTCCCCCTTTTCTCCCTTTCCCCCTTTTTCCCCTTTTTTCTCCTTCCCTTTTCCCTTCTTTCCCCTTTCCCCCCTTCCCTTTTCCTCCTTTCCCCTTTCATTTTAATTCCTCTTTTCCTCCCTTCCCCCCTTTGTTCCTTTTCTCCCTTTCCCCTTTTTCCTCCTTCCCTTTTCCCTTCTTTCCCCCTTTCCCCCTTCCCTTTTCCCCCTTTCCCCCCCTTTGTTCCTTTTCTCCCTTTTCTCCCTTTCCCCCTTTTCTCCATTTTTTCTCCTTCCCTTTTCCCTTCTTTCCGCTTTCCCCCCTTCCCTTTTCTCCTCTTTCCCCCTTTTCTTCATTTTTTCTCCATTTTTTCTCCTTCCCTTTCCCCTTCTTTCTCCTTTTCCCCCTTTCCCCTTTCATTTTAATCCCCCTTTTCCCCCCTTTGTTCCTTTTCCCCTTCCCCCGTTAACCATCCCCCGGGGTGTCCCCGCAGGTGGACGCTGCCAGTCTGCGCTCTCACCTGGTGCACCTGGGGAACCTCCCTGCCGAGGGTTTCCGGGAGCTGGAGCTGGTGTGCGCGGGGCTGCGCTTCGGCAAGGTGGAGCACTACGCCGTGCTCAGCAACCGCCACCGGGTACGGCCCCGGCGCGGGGCATCGGGGCTGGAAGGGAGGACTTTGGGAACCTTTGGGGATTTTTTGGGAATTTTTTCAGAGTTTTTTGGGGATTTCCTGAGGATTTTTGGCAGAGCGGTTTCAGGAATTGAAGCTGGTTTGTGCTGGGGTACACCATGCTCAGCAGCTGCCATGGGGTGTGGCCCCAGGGCCTGGGGAAAAATGAGGGGTTTGGGGGAGAAATTGGGGTTTGCACAGAAAAAAAACTGGGGATTTTTGAGTTGTTTGTTTTTTTTTTTTAATATTTTTTCAATTTTTAGGGGATTTTTGAGGGATTTTTTTTTTAAATGTAAAAGATTTTTGCGGGGACTCTTCTGAATTGTGGGAGATTTTTTGGGGAAATTTTGTGGATTTATTTTTTCAGAATTTTTGAGGGGCCTTTTGGGAATTTTGGATGATTAGTTTGGGAATTTTTTGAATTTTTGGGGAACTTTTATTTTGGGGGGATTATTTTTTAATTTTTGGGAGGTTTGGGGGTAAATTTTTGAGGGAATTTTGGGGGCGGGGGTGTTTGGGAATTTTTGGTAATTGGAAAAAGTGAGAATGCAGAATTGATGGGGTTTTTATGGGATTCTCTAGGTTTTAGATCCCAAAAATACAAGGAAATGGTTTTAAAATAAAATAAAAAAAAAAGAGGAAAATGATTTTAAATCCCAAAAAACTAAATCCCATAAAAACAAGGAAAATATCCTTAAAATCCCAAAAAACCCAAGAACATGGTTTTTGAATCCCAAAAAAGCAACTTTATTTTTTCAGAATTTTTGAGGGGCCTTTTGGGAATTTTGGATGATTAGTTTGGGAATTTTTTGAATTTTTGGGGAATTTTTTTTAAATTGTGGGGGGGATTATTTTTTTAATTTTTGGGAGGTTTGGGGGTAAATTTTTGAGGGAATTTTGGGGGCGGGGGTGTTTGGGAATTTTTGGTAATTGGAAAAAGTGAGAATGCAGAATTGATGGGGTTTTTATGGGATTCTCTAGGTTTTAGATCCCAAAAATACAAGGAAATGGTTTTAAAATAAAATTTAAAAAAAAAAAGAGGAAAATGATTTTACATCCCAAAAAACTAAATCCCATAAAAACAAGGAAAATATCCTTAAAATCCCAAAAAACCCAAGAACATGGTTTTTGAATCCCAAAAAAGCAACCAAAGCCCCCCCCCCCCCACAGAAATGTTCTTTAAAACCAAGGAAAATATCCTTTAAATCCCAAAAAAACACAAATCCTAAAAATCCAAAGAAGTATTTTTTAAGTCCCAAGAAAAACTGGGAAAATCCCAAAAATCCAAGAAAATACTTTTTAAATCTCAAAAAACCCAAGGAGAATACCCCAAAAACCTGGAAAATGTTTTGAAAACCCCAAATCCAAGAAAAACATCTTTTAAATCCCAAAAAACCCAAGTTACTTCCACCTTTAGGACCCAATTTGGGACATTTAAAGGTGAATTTTAACACCTTTTATGCCCGGAAAGTGGCGAGAAACAAGCGAGGGATTCCAGCAGGTTTAAGAATTCCCATTTTATCCATAAATTAAGGAGTTACCTGGAATTTTTTCCCTCAGGCCATCCTGCAGCTGGACAGCCCCAAATCCGCGCGCTCCATGCACAGCTTCCTGCAGCAGTATCCTTATTCCATAGGGGAACACACACTCACCTGCTCCTTGTCCTCCCACGGAGACATTCCTGAGGTAAAAATTCCAGGTTTTCCACCATCTGGGGTTTTTTTGGGCATGGGAGAACCTTCCTGCAAAAAGCTGAGGGATGGGATTTCCTTCAGGGTTGGGATTTTTCCCTCAGGGTTGGGGCTTTTCCCCCAGGATTTTCCCTCATGGTTGGAATTTTCCCTCAGGATTGGAATTTTTTCCCTCAGGGTTGGGATTTTTCCCTCAGGTCTGGGATTTCCCTCTCAGGGTTGGGCTTTTCCCTCAGGGCCAGAATTTCCCTTACGGTTGGAATTTTCCCTCAGGATTGGGATTTTCCCCCTCAGGATTGCAATTTTTCCCTCAGGGTTTGGGATTTTTTGCATCAGGATTGGAATTTTTTCCCTCAGGGGTGGGATTTTTCCCTCAGGTCTGGGATTTCCCTCATGGTTGGGGCTTTTCCCTCAGGGCCAGAATTTTTCCTTATGGTTGGAATTTTCCCTCAGGATTGGGATTTTTCCCTCAGGTCTGAGATTTTCCCCTCAGGGCCAGGATTTTTCCTTATGGTTGGAATTTTCCCTCTGGACTGGGATTTTTCCCCTCAGGATTGGGATTTTTCCCCTCAGGATTGGGATTTTTCCCCTCAGGATTGGGATTTTTCCCTCAGGGTTTGGGATTTTTTTCCCTCAGGGCCAGGATGTTCCCTCAGTGTTGGAATTTTCTCCCTTGGGGCCGGAATTTTCCTTCAGGGTTGGGATTTTTCCCTCAAGAGTTTGGGATTTTTCCCCTCAAGGATGGGATTTCCCTCAGGATCATGATTTTTCCCTTATGGTTGGGATATTTCCTTCAGGTCTGGGATTTCCGTCAAGGATTGGAATTTTCTCCCCTCAGGGTTGGGATTTTCCCCCTCAGGGTTTGGAATTTCCTTCAGGATTGGGATTTTTCCCTCAAGGTTGGGATTTTTCCATCGGAGTTTGGGATTTTTTTTTCCTCAAGAATAGGATGTCCCTCAGGATCTTGATTTTTCCCTCAGGGTTGGGATGTTTTTCTCAGGGCTGGGATTTCCCTCAGGGTTTGGAATTTTTTCCCTCATGGATGGTATTTTTCCCTCAGGATCATGATTTTCCCCTCAGGTCTGGGATTTCCCTCAGGGATTGGGATTTTTGTTTTCCAGGCTGAAACCGGGAAAAGGGAAGAGAAGAGAGAAGATGGGAGCAAAGGAAGGTACAGCCTGCAAGGATTTTTGGGAATTTTATCCATTTCTTTTCCCTCTTGGAATGTTTATCCACGATTAGGGATTGCTGAGCCTCTCTCTCTCCAGCTGTGTCCTGCTGCTCCTCCTTCCCAATCCATTTTTGCAGAGCCACAATATTTGTGATTCATTAAAAATCATGGCAAAACAGGGTGAAATCCCAATTTTTATTGGGAATTTTCTTTGGTTTTCTCTCCTGCTCAGGTCTTGGCTCCTTTTATTCCATCCTTAAGCTCTTCTCTCTATCCCTGCCTCTGGAATTCCTCTTTCCAGCTGCTGAATTCCTGGAGATCTTTAGGAATTGTTGTTAAATATGGCTTCGATCCCTTTTTTTCTGTGATTCCAACTTGGGTTTCTGGATGAGTTTTATTGTTAAAACCTCAAAATTGTGTAAGGATCATCCTCAAATTTAAGGAATTCCATCATGGAAAAGCTCTGTATTCCCAGATCCCGATTTTTTTCCTTGTCATTCCATGAAACTGCTGAATTTTGGGAGCATTAATTCCCAAATTAATGGGAAGCTCTTCCTTACAGCCACTTTTGTGATTCCAGACAGGTGGAATGAAAATTTAAATTTAGAATTAAAATTTAAAAGTTATTTTTCCATTAATCCCAGCTCCTGAAAAATTGGAAAATCGATATTTTCCCCTGCTCCACATATTTTCCACACAATTAATTTATTCCATTTCTCAGGGAGCAGAAAAGACTGGAATTATTGTTTTAATTGTTAATGATTAATTATTTATCTTTAATTAATTTATCTCAACTTCTGGGTTCTGCCTTTCCCAGGCTGTGTTTTCCATGAATCCAGGGGGGAGTTTTCCATGAATCCCAGTAGAAAACAAACTGAACACAGCCAGAAGTGTTGAATTGATGGGAAAATCCTTTTGGAGGATCAAAATCCCATTGTCCTGGACAATCCTGATTTTTCCAGGTTTTGGAGTAGAAATTCCCTGCTGGAATTCTGCTAGAATGGGTGCTCCCGGCCATCCCTAATTCCAGCACTTCCCAAGCTCATCCTGTGGGATTCTTTCCTTCAGGGAAGAGTCTCTGGAATTCCCTGGGAAGCTCCATCCTGTGACACCTTGGGCTGTGTTATCCCAGGGGATTCTCCGTGGAAAACAGGGATTTTAAACCAAAACCTGATCCAAAATCCAATGCCAAATCCAAACCTGCTCTCTCGGGATTGGGAGCTGCAGCCAGAGCAAAGCTCCTCTAATTCCCTTATCCAAGAGCTGCCTTTTGGTTGGATATTCCCAATTTTCCCTCTGTGGGATGGAAAATTTCCAAGGCCTGAGGTCTCCAAAATGTGAATTATTCACCTCAAGTTGTCGCCTTTTCCCACAGAATTCCCAATCCCATTTCCTCATGCTCCAGGTAAACTCCCACTGGTGGCATCCGGAGCTTTCTGAGTTTTCTGGAATTCTCCCTCCACGGTTTGATTTTTGTTTCTTTTAAATGCTTTTAGCTCTGGCTTGAAAAAAATTCCAGAGGGATCAGGAACGGTGCAAAAACCAGCTGGAAATCCATCGGGAGAGGCCAGGAAAGGTCAAATTCCCACCCCAAATGTCCCGGAGGAGATTCCAGCAGGACAACTGGAGATTCCTGAGTCGCAGGCAGGAGGAGCAGCGAGGGATTCGCCCGCAGGGATGGACGTGGAGGGATTGGATCCTGGAACTGGAATTCCTGTGGATCCTGCTGGCAGCAAATCACCCGGAGCGAGGTCGGAGGAGAAACCGGCGCCGCTTTCCGGAGCGGGGACGGACAAAGCTCGGGATGAGCCGGAGGTGGAAATCCAAAAGGAGGATGAGGAACCCTCTGCTCCTGCCATGGAACCTCTGGAATCATCCAGCAAGGTTATCCCAGCGGCCGGAGGAACACCAGGAGCCATCCCTGGAATGTCGCCGAGCTCGGAGGAGGCTCCTGCGGTGTCACCCGGTGTCACCCAGCCCAGCACGGAGCCGGCTGCTCTGGAGGCTGGGAAAAGCAGCCATGAAACATCCACGGAGAGGAAAGCTGTCCCAAAAACTGTGGATGCTCCAGGGAAAAAATTGGATGTGGCTGGAGCAGAGAGAGAGGCGACAGCGGAGGAATCCGTGCTCAAAATCGGGGAAAATACAGGGAAAATATGGGGCAAGGCTGGGACAGAGACGGAGAAAACACCTGGAAAAATACCATCCAAGGGTGGGGAAAACTCTGGGAATGCTGTTGGTGAGATGCATGGGGGAAGTTCGGTTAAAATCCCACAAAATAAAGGGACGGGAGCTGCAAAATCCGACGAAAGCCGTGCGGCGGCTCCGGTAAATTCCGCTGCATCCCTGAAGGAATCTTGCATTGGAAAAACTTTTTTGAAGGCAGTGGTGTCCGTCCCGGACATCCTGAAGCAGAGAATTCCTGTCAGGATCACCGAGACTTCCCTGGGAAGAACTGGGGAGCAGAAAATCCCCCCCAGAGTGGGGCTGGAGAAGAAAATCCCACCCAAAACAGTGGCTCAGCCAGGAGCTGGGAACAGCCAATGGAAAGGGAATGGAAATTCCGGAGTGGAAGCACAGGGAGATGGTGGGAAGGGCTCATCCCAGCAGGAAAAGGATTCCCAGCTGGAATCTTGGGCGAGTTCAAAGCAGAGCCAGCAGGGAGAGAGCGGAACAGCTGGCATGAAGGAAGATCCCAGTGGGAATCAGGTGAGGAGGGCAGGAATGCCCAGGTGTTCCCTGGGCTTCTTCCACTCTGGGTTTCTGGGATCATTCCTTTCCCTTTTCCATCAATCCTGGGGCCACCAGAGGAGCTTCTGGGCAACCTGTTCCTTTTAGCTGCAGCATGAGGGTGGAACTGGTTGGAAAATCCTATGGAAGTTGTTTTGGAAGCGAATCCAAACTGAATTCCTTGGAGCAGCTCCAAGTGGGAATAAACCCCGTGTCCTCTGGGGAGCTGGAATTTGCTTTTCCGAGCCTTGCACAGATGGAAAAAAGGCTCCTGAGCCAGGTGTCACCTGTTGGTGGAGCCATGGTGACATCCCAGAGCAGCTCCTTGATCCAAACAAAGCTGTGCTCGATGAGGATTGGGATTTCCTGGGATTTCATGGAATTTTCTGTCCCATTTTGCAGGCTCCTGGTGGGGGCGGTGCCGCAGCTTGTTTGAAGAGCGGCACCGGCAGCACTGGAAAACAGAAGGAGGTGAGGAAAACTGTGGGATTTAAAGGCTGGAACATATGAAAAAGGGGATTTTTGATGTTCCAGGGGCTGGGATTGGATGGGATTTAAGGTCTTTTCCAACCCAAACCATTCCAGGATTCCATGACATTCCTGCTCTCGGGAATCTTTCCACTCTTCCCAAAATGCAGTCACCAAATGCCTGCACTTTTTCTGTCTGGTGTCTGTGGATCCCGTAGGCTCTGAGATGCTGGAATTCCTTTGGATCCATTCCCTTGGGACCTCTTGGTCCCTATTTCCAGGCTCATGGAGCCGGGACTGCCAGGAAGCCTCAACTGGGATCAGATCCCACAAATCCATCCCCAAATCCCAGTTTCCCATCTTGTGTTAAAGATCCATGAAAACATGAGGGTAGGATGGAATATTTTGGCAGAAAAAGTAACAAAAATTTAGAATTCTCAGTGGAAAAAATTGGAAGCATCATTTGGGTGGGGCACCCGTTCCTTTGGACCCAGAACTTTGAATTGGCAGGAATTTTATCTGTTGAATTTTATCCGTTGAATTTTATCTGTTGAATTTCATCCACTGAATTTTGTCCACTAAATTTTGTCCCTTTAATTTTATTCACTGAATTTTATCCATTGGCCTTTATCCATTGAATTTTATCCACTGAATTTTGTCCATTGACCTTTATCCCACTGGATTTTATCCATTGATTTTTATCTGCTGAATTTCATCCACTGAATTTTGTCCATTGACCCTTATCCACTGAATTTCATCCATTGAATTTTATCCATGGAATTTTATCCCCTATTGATCTGCTATGATTTCTTTGCAAATTCTCAATTTTTCCAAAGGATTTTGGCTTCCTGAACTAAACCTGAGTTAATTTAAATTAATTACTCAACACAATGCTGCGATTTAAGCCCTGACCACTTTTTTTTTTTTTCCCCACTCAAATTAAATTTGGGGTTATTTTTTGGATCCAACGTGTGTGGATGTTCCCGCTGGAGATGACAGTTAAATATTCCATTCCCAGGAGGAAGAGCTCTTCCCGTTTAACCTGGACGAGTTCGTCACGGTGGACGAGGTGCTGGAGGAAGCCGAGTCTCCGGTGATGCCGCGGCGGAACCCCCCGAGGGGGAAGAGAAAAGAAGCCCCCAAAGCCAACCCTTCGGAGCCGGTGTCCAAGAAGAGGAAAGGGAAGAGTTGCGGAGCCGAAGGTGAGCTGTCCTTTGTCACCTTGGATGAGATCGGGGAGGAGGAGGACGCCCCGGTGCCGCTGCCGGGCGTCGACCCCCAGGGCCTGGTGGTGGTGGATGAGGTGGTGGAAGAGGAGGAGCTGTCGGAAGCGGTGAAGGATCCGCAGGCGCTGCTGACGCTGGATGAGATCTCGGAGCAGGAGGAGCCAGGCTCCCATGGGAATGGGCCCCGGGTGGAATTCGAGGAGCGGGAGCTGAAGGCCGAGCCCTTGGTGACCGTGGATGAGATCGGGGAGGTGGAGGAGCTGCCCCTCAACGAGCCCACGGAGCTGCGCGCCGCCGAGGAGGGAAAAACCAATCCCGGGGATTGCGCGGCATCCCAGGTGCCCGACGATCCCAACGCCTTGGTGACTGTGGATGAGATCCAGGAGGACAACGAGGACAATCCTCTGGTGACTCTGGATGAGGTTAATGAGGATGAGGATGATTTCCTGGCTGACTTCAATCACCTCAAAGAGGAACTAAACTTTGTTACAGTCGACGAAGTCGGCGATGAGGAAGAAGAAAACACTTTCCCAGGGAAGAACCCGCCCGAGGATGAAGATGACGAAGATATTGTTGCTGTTGCGGGACCAGAAGAAATGGGAATTTTAGGAGATACAAATCCAGAGGATGAAATGGCTGAAATCTCCAAGCCAAAAGGTGAGGAACATCAAGGCTGGCTTGGACAAGGCTTGGAGCCATCTGGGCTGGTGGAAGGTGTCCATGTCCTTTAGGTGCCTCCCAACCCAAACCATTCCGTGGTTCCATTCTATCATTCCGTGATTCTGTTCCATGATTCCATTCCATCACTCCGTGATTCTGTTCCATGATGCCATGATTCCATCCCAACATGAATTTCTGTCTCCAGCAGCTCAGCTGGGATCAGAAGATGCAGAACCAAAGTCTCAGCAGAAGAAAGCGACTTTGCAAGGTGTCCCCAAGACGCAGAGCACTCCCAAAGGTAAATCCAAAGGAATCCCCCAAAATGCTCTGGGTTTTCCTGGCTGGAAGATTCTCTCCTGCCCATTTGAAAACTCCTCCTGTGCATCACAACCAGAATGAACATCAAAGTCAGGGCCTAGAATCCATGGTTTTTCTTGGCTCCTCCAAATCCATGTTTAACTAGTTGGTTAAACTCGAAAGCCTCTCATGGGAAGTTTTTTGTGGAAATTTCCAAATCCAGGTGGAATTATTGATTACTAGTGGGGTGTAGTGTGGTGTCTCCTGAGGGTTCCAATCCTGCGGTGAGTTTTATTCCCAACATTCAGTGTCTGGAAGGGAGGGAATTGCTGCCAGGACTGTGAAATGGAGGTGTAGGGATGTAGTGAATTCCATGAGGTCAGAAATTGTTCCAACTTCCATGGGGTCAGACCTTCAGGAACTGCTCCAACATGAGTCACTTCATGGAGTCTTTTCTTCAGGAGCTGCTCTAGTGTGGGTCCCTTTTTCCACGGGATCAATCCTTCAGGAACTGTTCCAACTTCTGTGGGGTCAGTCCTTCAGGAAGTTCCTGAATTTCTATGGGTCAGTCCTTCAGGAACTGCTCCCACTTCCATGGGGTCACTTCTTCACACTTCCAGTGTGGGTCAGTCTTCCATGGGATCAGTCAGTCCTTCAGGAACAGGCTGCTCCAACATGGGTCGTTTTTCCATGGGGTCAGTCTTTCAGGAATTGTTCCAAGTTCCATGGGGTCAGTCCTCCAGGAGTTGTTCCAGCTTCTGTGGGCTCAGTTCTTCAGGAACTGGTCCAACTTCCCTGGGGTCAGTCCTGCAGGAGCTGCTCCAACATGAGTCACTTTTCCATGGAGTCAGTCCTTCAGGAATTATTCCAGCTTTCATGGGGTCAATCCTTCAGGAGCAGGCTGCTCCAACATAGATAACTTTTCCCTGGGATCAGTTCTTCAGGAAGTGCTCCAACTTCCATGGGGTCAGTCTTTCAGGAGCTGCTCCAATGTGGGTCACTCTTCCCTGGGATTAATCCTTCAGGAAGGTGGGTCACTTTTCCATGGGGTCATTCCTTCAGGAACTGCTCCAGCATGGCTCCCTTCTTCCATGGACTCAAATCCTTCAGGAACTGTTCCAACTTCTGTGGGGTCAGTCCTTCAGGAACTTCCTGAATTTCCATGGGGTCAGTCCTTCAGGAACTGCTCCCACTTCCATGGGGTCACTTCTTCACACTTCCAGTGTGGGTCAGTCTTCCATGGGATCAGTCAGTCCTTCAGGAACAGGCTGCTCCAACATGGGTCGTTTTTCCATGGGGTCAGTCTTTCAGGAATTGTTCCAAGTTCCATGGGGTCAGTCCTCCAGGAGTTGTTCCAGCTTCTGTGGGCTCAGTTCTTCAGGAACTGGTCCAACTTCCCTGGGGTCAGTCCTGCAGGAGCTGCTCCAACATGAGTCACTTTTCCATGGAGTCAGTCCTTCAGGAATTATTCCAGCTTTCATGGGGTCAATCCTTCAGGAGCAGGCTGCTCCAACATAGATAACTTTTCCCTGGGATCAGTTCTTCAGGAAGTGCTCCAACTTCCATGGGGTCAGTCTTTCAGGAGCTGCTCCAATGTGGGTCACTCTTCCCTGGGATTAATCCTTCAGGAAGGTGGGTCACTTTTCCATGGGGTCATTCCTTCAGGAACTGCTCCAGCATGGCTCCCTTCTTCCATGGACTCAGTCCTTCAGGAGCTGCTCCAACTTCCATGGGATTGGCTGCTTTATTCCCAGAAAATTGTGTGTATTGGAAATGGAGATGACCTGGGGATTGAAACGGGTCAGGGAGCAGCTTGGGTGAAAAACCAGACTTTTTGGAATGTTAAAGAACTGTAATTTCCCCCTGAGGAATCACAAATTCCCCAGATTTGGCTAAAGGAAGGTGAGGCTGGAATATTTCTGGGAGCTGTGTGTGGTGACTGTGGTGTATCCTCAGCTCTGGACATCCTGGTGCCAAAGGCCGGATTCTTCTGCCAGATCTGCTCCCTCTTCTACGCCGACGAACCCTCCATGATCAACCACTGCAGGACCCCCCTGCACCGGCAGAACATGGAGGTACCGCCCAGAAAAACGGGAATATCCCCCCAGATCCTTGGATTCAGGGGTGCCGAGGATTCCCTGGGGGTTCACGTTTGATGGGGTTTGGGAATGCAGCAGGAATATGGAATATTTTTATTCAATACCCAGATTGTGGGGAATCCTGATCCCTGAGATTTGGCCACGTTCCCCTCAGGAGCTTCCCGTATCGAATTTGGGGGCTTTTATGGGACAAATCCCACTTCAGCCGTGGGAGGAGCTGACTGAACCTGGCCCAGGTGTTCCTGGCCCAGGTTTTAGGGGATAATCCTGGAATATCCCTGCAGCACCATCTCTTGTCCTTTCTCCACAGAAATTCATGGCCAAGCAGCAGGACAGCGGCGGGGAGGAGCCGAGCTCCAGGTGATGGAGCTTCCCAGGAATGACACTTCGGGGCCAGTCAGTTCTGTGTGTTTGGATTTCCTTTGTCATTTGGGGTCGGGAAGGAGCATCCATGGTGTAAAAAATTGGAGCTGGGAACAGACTAAACCCAAAGCAGGAGAGGGTTGGATTTGTGTCTCCGATCATCCGACATGGGAGAGACTGTTCCAGGTGTCTCCAGGAAATAAATGTTCTTACTGTATAGTTACCCCTGGGCTGCATTTGGGGTCATTCCTTGGGGTTTGGTGACTCTGGATGACACTGGAGATCCAGGGGATCAATGGAGAGAGTCAAGGGAAGGGTCTGGAGCTCCAGGAGCAGCTGAGGGAGCTGGGAAAGGGGCTCAGCCTGGAGAAGAGGGGGATCGGGGGGGGAACGTCTTGCTCTCCAAAACTCCCGGAATTCATGGAGCCAGGAGTTGGGATCTGCTCCCAAAGAGGAGGGACATGAGGAGAGGGAACAGCCTCAGGTTGGATGTTGGGAAAATTCCTTCTTGGAAAGGGCTGTCCAACCCTGGCAGGGGTGGAGTCCCCATCCCTGGGGGGATTTACCAACCCTGTGCATGTGGCACTTGGGGACACAGTCAGTGGTGGCCTGGGCAGTGCTGGACTCAATGGTCTTTGAGGGTTTTTCCCAAACAATTCCATGATTCCATGAGTCCCTTGCCCTGCACCCAACCTGCCCCCAGCCCCCTCAGTTCCATGGTGACATTCCAAACTTGGCAACATCCCTGGAGCACTCAACCCCACCTGGGGCTCATTAGCAGCCGACAGAGCCACAGGAATTCAGGAATTCCTTTAATTCCTTTGTCTGTGGCCAGGGCTTGGGGCACCCCCGGCCTTTTTGGGGAGCACATGGAAACCATTTCTCCCCGTGGACTTCAGCCAGGTGAGTCAGAAAGGGAAACTCGGATTAAGTCCCTGGGAATGCTGAACTTCTCTAAGGTGGGATCAGTGCCAGGGTCCAGAGGGTGACCATGGGTGTGGGAAAGGCCCTGGAGTCAGGATGGGCAGGGCTGGAGGGCGCTGACCCTGGCACTGATGGTGTGGGCAGGGAGGCAGGATTGTGCCCCCTGCTCTGTTGGCTGGCCCTGGGCACAGCTCCTGGTCAAGAAAGACTTTCCCACTCTGACATCTCTTGATTGATGAAGTCTTCCCATTGGGACAGAGATTTGTGTCCCTTGACACATTCCCATGACACTGCTCTGGATGTCTCTTGGTGTCCTCTTGGCACGAGTCTTGGATAGTGAATTCTTCCATTTGGGACGTCTCGTGGTTGATGGATTCATCCATTTGGGGCATCTTGTGGTTCATGGATTCTTCCATTTGGGACATCTCCTGGTGGATCAAGTCCTCCCATTGGGACAGCGTTTTGTATCCGTTGACTTTCCCTTCGTGCCATTCTTGGTCTCTCTTGGCTTTTCCTTGGCATGGGTCTTGGTTGATGGATTCTTCCTTTTGGGATGTCTTGTGATTGATGAATCCTTCCATTTGGGATGTCTCGTGGTTGATGAATCCTTCCATTTGGGATGTCTCGTGGTTGACAGATTCATTCATTTGGGACATCTGGTGGATTAAGTTTTCCCATTGGCACATTGTTTTGTATCCCTTGGCATCCCCTTGGCACCGTTCTTGGTGTCTCTTGGCTTTTCCTTGGCACAGCTCTTGGTTGACGAAGTTTTCCATGTGGGACGACACTTGGTTGAAGAGTTCTTCCATTTGGGACATCTCTTGGTTGATTAGATCTTCCCATTGGGACACACTTTTGTATCCATTGGCTTCCCCTTGGCATTGCTCTTGGGATCCATTGGCTTCCCCCTGGCACTGCTTTTGGGATCCGTTGCCTTGCCCTTGGCACTGCTCTTGGCTGGTGAATTCTTCCCATTGGGACAGATCCTGGCATCCGTTGCCTTGCCCTTGGCACAGTTCCTGGTCTCCCCTGGCTTTCTCCTGGCACAGCTCTTGGTCGATGAATTCCTCCATGTGGGACATCTCTTGGGAGATGAAGTCCAACCATTGGGACAGATCTCTGTATCCATGGGCTGTGCCCTGCCTCATCCCTTGGGATCTCTCTGCGTGCCCTCGGGATCCCTGTGGATCTCTGCTGTGTCCCCCCTGGCACAGCCCTTGGGGACCGCAGAATTCCCACTCTTCCTGCTCCATGGCCGACATCCCCTGTCCTTCCTGGGACCGGAGCCTCCACAGCCCCTGGACTGCCCAGGAGTTGGGATTTGGCTTTTCCAGAGGGATCCAGGAGCCGCTGCTCCTGGGAAAGGACCTGAACCCTTTGGGATCACACTGGGATCGGGGCATGGCACAGCTCCGGTGTCACAGCGGGACATCCCAGCAACCACGGGGCCCTCTGGAACCTCCTGGAACCTTCTGGAGCTGCAGCCCCGGCCGCACACAACACCAGCGGTGTGCGGGGGGGGCTGTCCCCCACAGATGGCACGGGTGACACTGGAAGGACACTGGGGGCACCCAGAGTCACCTGGAGCAGTGGCACCGTGAGAACGCGAGGAGGTTCAGCCAGGCCGGGTGAGATCCCAGACTGGAGCACGGGCTGGGAGCTCCTGGGGAATCTCCCTGCAGGAAGGACTCAGGGACACGGGGACAGCGACACGGCCCTGGGCAGGACTGTCCCAGCAGAGCCCGGTGCCTCTGACCCCGCTGCGCCTGTGGGCTGCGGGGAGCCCGAGCAGCTTCCAGGCACGATTCCTGCCGGGAAAAGCCACGGCGCCTTTAAGGCATCTCCAAGCGGGATCTGGCAGCCGCGGGCGCTGCACCAGGAAATTCCTGACATCCCGGGAAGTGCTGAGCCAGCGCGAATCGGGGCCGAGTGCGCCTCGGAGCCGGGAACGGCGCCAGGAGCGGGGCCGGGAATTCTGCAAACCTCGAAAGAGCCAGCCCGGCCGCCCCTCCTGGGCCCGCGCCAGAAGGCAGGAGCTGCCTCTGGAGCCCGGGACAAAACCCGTCCCAGCGTCCAGCCCTTGGAATCGGGCAGGGAATGCTCCGGCCCCGGTGCCAGCCCCCGCTGCCCCCCGCTCCCCTGGGATGCATTCCCGGGTGATGTGGATCCAGAGGATCCCGGAGCGGTGCACAGAGCCAGAGGGGTCTGTCCCGCTCCCTCCTCGGCCCGGCAGGGCTCTGGGACACCCCCAGGGACAGGACGGGGATGAGGACAAGGGACAGGGATGGCACCGGCGGCAGCTGCGCCGCCCTGCCCGCTCCGCGCCCGCGGGAAATCCCAATAAAAGAAGGGAAAGTCAAGCCAGGAAAGTTCTTTCGGGGCGGAAAAAGAGTGGGGGACAGGCAGGACCAAACCCCGGACCCGCACCCCGAGTCCCACCCGGGGCACCCCCGAGGGGTCGGGGCCGGGGACCGCCCCTCGCCGCCGGGTTCGGCCCCGCTCCGCCCGCACCGGCGGCTCCGGGACCTCCCGGGTCCCCGGGCTCGGCCGGCGGCGCCGCCGCTGCGGCGGGAGGAGCCCCCGCGGACCCCCGGGCCACTCCCCGACGTGGTGGTGGGACAGTGGGGACACTGCGGGGGGCTGGGGACAGCGGGGATACAGGGAGGGGACAGTGGGACATGGTGATGGGACAGCGGGGACGCTGTGGGGACACGGTAGGGACACCGGTCCAGGCCCGCCGGTGAGCGGGCGGGACCCGGTGTCCCCCGTTCGAGGGGTCCGGTGGCAGGGGGAGCCCGGCTCCGCGGCACCGGGGCGGGCACGGCCAGCGGGACCCCCAAACCGAGCGGGGTGACCCCAACGAAGAGCACCGCCAGCGGGGTGTCCCCCAGAAAGGGCACCACAACGGGGCCCCCCAAAACCAGCGGGGTGTCCCCCACGAAGGCCATCGCCAGGGGACCCCCTAAAGGCAGCGAGACGCCCCCCTGGAAAGGCACCACGGCGGGACCCCCCAAACCCAGCGGGGTGCCCCCTCCGAAGGGCACCACGGCCGCGCCTTCGAGGAGCAGCACCACGACGGGACCCCCGAAGGGCAGCACGGCCCCCCCGGTGCGGGGCAGCGCGACCCCCCCCAGCCCCGGCCCCTCCCGGCGCGGGGGGCTGCGGGACGGGGACCCCGCGGCCACAGGTAGGACCGGAGGGGTCGGGGGCGCTGGGAGGGGAGCGGCTGTGAAGGACAGAGTGTGCAAAGGGGGGTTCACGGGAGAAAAGGGGTGCCAGGCTGTTCCCCTGTCCCCTCGCAGCCCCGGCGCCCACGGTGACCAAGGTGGCGGTGAGGAGGAGAAAGGTGGTGAGGAAGAAGGTGGTGAAGAAGAAGGTGCTGAGGAAGAAGCCGGAGGCTCCGGCCGCTCCGCAGGAGCCCCGTACGTGCGCTGGGTGCGGGTGGCCCGGGCATTGTCACCTGCACACGGAGCTGGCCGTGTCCTGGGGACACCCGGGGGGCACTGGGGGTTGGGGTGTTGACCCGTGGCTGGCACGGTCCCCATGGCACAGCTCGGTGGGGACAGCGGGTGGGGACAGCCCCGGCCGTGCCGGGGTCCCTGTGTGAGCGCTGTCCCCGCTGTGTCCCCAGCGTGTCCCCCCCTGGGGCTGGAGTCCCTGCGGGTGCTGGACGAGCAGCTCCGGGCATCGAGCCACAAGCGGCACGGGCTGGGCGCGCACCGCGGCCGCCTCAACATCCAGGTACTGCCAGGTGTGCCAGGAATGGGCCAGGAGTGTGCCAGGGGTGTGCCAGGGTGTGCCAAGAGTGCCAGGAGAGGGCCAGGGGTGTGCCAAGAATGTGCCATGCTGGGGGATGTTTGGATGTCACCTACACAGCATGTGGCACGCGGGTGTGGCAAGTGCATGGCAAACGCAGAGTAGGTGTGACACATTCGTGGCAAGTTCGTGGCATCTTCATGGCGTGTTTGTGACATTTTGTGGCGAGTTTGTGGCATCTTCATGGCATGTTTGTGACATTTTGTGGTGGGTTCATGGCATCTTCATGGCATGTTTGTGACATTTTGTGGTGGGTTCATGGCATCTTCATGGCATGTTTGTGACATTTTGTGGCGAGTTCGTGTCATCTTCATGGCATGTTTGTGACATTTGGTGGCGAGTTTGTGGCATCTTCATGGCTCCCAAGTGTCCCAGGCGCTCTCCAGCTCCGTCCCCTCCCTCCCGTGTGGCTCCTCGTGATCCCAGTGTCACCACCCCGGTGCCACCCCGGGCTCGGGGACACGGCGGGCGGTGGGGCCGTGTCCCTGTGCGTGTCCCCTCCCCTCCCCACAGTCAGGGCTGTACGACGGTGACTTCTACGACGGTGGCTGGTGCGCGGGGCACGAGGACACGCGGCAGTGGCTGGAGGTGGACGCCCGGCGCCTCACCCGCTTCACCGGCGTGGTCACCCAGGGCCTCAACTCCATCTGGACGTAAGGGGACGAGGGGGACAAGGGGGGGGACAGCGTGGGGGACCCCCTGACCCCCCCTGTGGCCCACAGGTACGACTGGGTGACGTCCTACAAGGTGCAGGTCAGCAACGACTCGCACGCGTGGCTGCCGAGCCGCAACGGCACCGAGGAGGCGGTGGGTGACACCGGGGTGACACCGGGGTGACACCCCCAGACGGGGTGGGGACATGGGGAGGTGACAGGGCTGGGGGGCAGGAATCACGTGGGAGGTAATGATGTGGGGGGGGTTAAGCGTGGTGGGTAGGTTAATGATGTTCAGGGGTTAATTGTGCCAGGTGGGTAATGATGCCAGGGTGGGGTTAATTAGGCCAGGGTTAATTATACTGGGGGTTAATGGTGGTGGGGTTAACCATGCCAGGTGGGATAACCATGCCCGGGAGGGTTAGTTAGGCCAGAGTCAATTATACTGGGGGTTAATTGTGGTGGGTTTAATTGTGCCAGGTGAGTTAACCATTCCAAGGGTTAACCGTGCCAGGGGGGTAACAATGGCAGGGGGTTAATTATGCCAGGGTTAATTATACTCGGGCTTAACCAGGTGAGATAACCCTGCCAGGGGGGTTAATTAGGCCTGGGTTAATTGTGCTGAGGTTAACCGTGCCAGGGTTAACCATGGCAGGTGGGATAACCACGCCGGGCAGGGTGTTAACCACACCAGGTTAACCACACCAAGGAGGGTTAACCACCCCAGGGAGGGGAGCCCATCCCGGGGTGCCCATTCCAAGGAGCCCATCCCGGGGTGCCCGTGCCAGCTGGCTCCGTGCCCAGGCTCTGTTGCCCTTGGCCTGGCCCCGCCGGGCACCCTGCAGCACTTCCCCCCAGCACAAAGGCTGCTTGTCCCTGCCTGGGCACCTGCCAGCCCCCCTGGCACAGCCAGGGGACATGGGGACACACGTGGGTGTGGCATGGTCCGGGGCTTGGGGACATGTGTGGGTGTGGCATGGCACCGGGGCCGAGCATGGCAGCCTGGAGCTGGGGAGGGTTTGGGGTCCTTGTGCCAGGGCTGGGTTTGGGGTCCCTGTGCTAGGATGGGTTTGGGGTCCCTGTGCCTGGGGTGGACTTGGGGTCCCTGGGACAGGGCTGTGCTGGGGCAAATTTGGGGGCCACGTGCCAGGGGTAGATCTGGGGGTTCCTGTACCATGGATGGAGTTGGGGTCCCTGTGCCAGGGATGGATTTGGGGTTCCTGTACCATGGATGGAGTTGGGGTCCCTGTGCCAGGGATGGATTTGGGGTTCCTGTACCATGGATGGAGTTGGGGTCCCTGTGCTAGGGTGGGTTTGGGGGTTCCTGTACCATGGATGGACTTGGGGGTCCCTGTGCCAGGGATGGATTTGGGGTTCCTGTACCATGGATGGATTTGGGGGTCACCATGTCAAGGCTGTACCAGCATCATGTTTGGGGATCTCCATGCCAGGGGTGGATTTCGGGGTCCCCCTGCCTGACCCATGCCAGGATCAGATTTGGGGTTCCCTCTGCCCATCCCTGGTGCCTTTGTGCTCCGAGCAGCGCCCGCGGCCCCCCCCCGGCCGTGCCTGCTCCTCCTTACGGGCTGGAGGGCAGCGGGCAGCGCCTGCAGCCCCACGGGCGGCTCTCCCTGACCCCTCCTGTCCCCTGCTGTCCCCTGCTGTCCCCTGCTGTCCCCTGCAGGTGTTCCCCGCCAACAAAGACCCCGAGACGCCGGTGCTGAACCTGCTGCCCTCGCCGCTCGTGGGGCGCTTCCTGCGCATCAACCCCCAGAGCTGGTTCCCCAACGGCACCGTCTGCCTGCGGGCCGAGGTGCTGGGCTGCCCCGTGCCCGGTGGGTGTCCCCGGCTGTCCCCTGCCCCGTGGGGACCCCCCCGGCTGTCCCCTGTCCCGTGGCGACCCCCTGGCTGTCCCCCTGGTCGCCACACGCCGCCCCAGCAGCGCCCAAACGCGGGCGATCGCCACCGGCGCTGTCGCCAGAGTCGCGGTCTGGGCTGCTCGCTGTCCCTGACCGTGTCCCCCCGTGTCCCCTCGGTGTCCCCGCAGACCCCAGCGATGCCCACGCCTGGCACCCCCCGCCCCCCCCCGACTCGCAGCTGGATTTCCGCCACCACAACTACAAGGAGATGAGAAAGGTGCCACCCTCCCCCCGAGCCCTGCGGGGGCTCCGTGTCCCCAAGGACAGCGGGGCTGGGGGGGCTGTGCCACCTCGGGGTGTCCCTGACGGTGCCACCGCCCGCAGCTGATGAAGAGGGTGAGCGAGGAGTGCCCCGACATCACCCGCGTGTACAGCATCGGGCAGAGCTCCCGCGGGCTGCGCCTCTACGTGATGGAGATCTCGGACAACCCCGGGCAGCACGAAGTCGGTGCGTGCCGGGGGGACAGCCGGGGACAGCCGGGGACAGCCGGAGGACAGCTGGGGACAGCCGGGGACAGCCGGGGTGGGACACCATGGGCGTGGGGACAGCGGCCAGGGATGCCCAGCTGGGGGTGGGTGACTGGGGGTGCCCGGGATGAGGAGGGGGCGCCAGGGATGCCCTGGCTGGTGCAGGGGGGTGGGGACAGTCACCGGGGCTGGTGCTGGAGGGTGGGGACTGTCACCCTGGCTGGCTCAGGGTGGGGTGACTGGGCCACCCAGTCTGGCATGGGATGCCCAGGTTGGAGTTGGGGTCACCAGGGACACCCAGACCTGTGAAGGACGGGAGGACAGGGTGGCTGGGGACACCCAGGATGGGAATGGGATGTACTGGGACACCCGGACTAGTGCAGGACAGGGACACCCAGGATGGGGATGGGGACACAGGGACACCCAGACTGGTCCAGGGTGGGGACAGGGACACCCAGGGTGGGGATGGGGACACAGGGACACCCAGACTGGTGCGGGATGGAGATGGGGACACCTGGAATGGTCCAGGGTGGTGATACAGGGACACCCAGACTGGTGAAGGACAGGACAGGGACACCCAGACTGGTGCAGATGGGTGGGGACAGGATGTACTGTGACACCCAGACTGGTCCAGGATGGGGACAGGGACACCCAGGGTGATGCAGGGGCATGGGGACAGGGACGCCCAGGGTGGGGATACAGAGACATCCAGATTGATGCAGGGACACGGGGACAGTGACCAGGGACACCCAGGATGGGGACAGGGACACCCAGGGTGGGGATACAGGGACACCCAGATTGGTGCAGGGACACAGGGACAGTGACCAGGGACACCCAGGATGGGGACAGGGACTCAGGGACACCCAGGATGGGACAAGGACACCCAGACTGGTGCAGGGACACGGGGACAGTGGCCAGGGTCCCTCCAGCCACCCGTCCTGGCCCCGCAGGAGAGCCGGAGTTCCGCTACGTGGCCGGCATGCACGGGAACGAGGTGCTGGGCCGGGAGCTGCTGCTGAACCTGATGGAATTCCTGTGCCGGGAGTTCCGCCGCGGCAACCCCCGCGTGGTGCAGCTGGTGACGGACACGCGCATCCACCTGCTGCCCTCCATGAACCCCGACGGCTACGAGACCGCCTACAAGCTGGTACGGCTGGCACCGCCCGTCCGCGGGGGTCCCGGGCATCCCGGTGATCCCGGTGTCCATCCCGGTGATCCCGGTGCCCATCCCGGTGATCCCAGTGCCCATCCCTGTGTCCATCCCGGTGATCCCGGTGTCCATCCCGGTGATCCCGGTGCCCATCCCGGTGCCCATCCCGGTGATCCCAGTGCCCATCCTGGGGATCCTGGTGCCCATCCTGGTGACCACAGTGCCCATCCCGGTGATCCCGGTGCCCATCCCAGTGCCCATCCTGGTGATCCCAGTGCTCATCCCGGTGATCCCAGTGCCCATCCTGGTGATCCCGGTGCCCATCTTGGGGATCCTAGTGCCCATCCTGGGGATCCTAGAGCCCATCCTGGTGCCATTCCAATGACCATGGTGCCCATCCCGGTGATCCCGGTGCCCATCCCGGTGTCCATCCCAGTGACCACAATGCCCATCCCAGGGATCCCAGTGATCCCAGTGCCCATTCTGGTGATCACAGTGCCCACACTGGTGCCCATCCCAGTGCCCATCCTGGTGACTGCACTGCCCATCCTGGTGCCCATACTGGTGATCCTGGTGACCGTGGTGCCCATCCCGGTGCCCATCCCAGTGATCCTGCTGATCCCAATGCCCATCCCAGTGCCCATCCCAGTGACTGCAGTGCCCATTCTAGCACCAATCCTGGTGCCCATCCCAGTGATCCCGGTGCCCGTGGTGTCCATCCTGGTGCCCATTCCAGTGATCCCAGTACCCATCCCAGTGACCACGGCGCTCATTCCAATGTGCATCCTGGTGATCCTGGTGCCCATCCCAGTGAACCCGGTACTATCTCGGGGATCCTGGTGCCCATCCTGGGGATCCCAGTGCCCATACTGGTGCCCATCCCAGTGACTGCTCTGCCCATCCCGGTGATCCTGGTGCCCATCCCGGTGCCATACCAGTGATCCCTGTGCCCATCCCGGTGATCCCAGTGCCCATCCCGGGGTTCCCAGTGCCCATCCTGGGGATCCTAGTGCCCATCCTGGTGCCATCCCAATGACCATGGTGCCCATCCCAGGGATCCCAGTGCCCATCCCTGTGCCCATCCCGGTGACTGCAGTGCCCATTCTAGCACCGATCCTGGTGCCCATCCCAGTGATCCCGGTGCCCGTGGTGTCCATCCTGGTGCCCATTCCAGTGATCCCAGTACCCATCCCAGTGACCACGGCGCTCATTCCAATGTGCATCCTGGTGATCCTGGTGCCCATCCCAGTGCCCATCCCGGTCATCCCAGTGCCCATCCCAGTGCCCATCCCGGTCATCCCAGTGCCCATCCCAGTGCCCATCCCGGTCATCCCAGTGATCCCAGTGCCCATCCCGGTGATCCCGGTGCCCGCGGTGCCCCGGCAGGGCTCGGAGCTGGCGGGATGGGCCATGGGCCGCTGGACGTACGAGGGCATCGACCTCAACCACAACTTCGCCGACCTGAACACGGCGCTGTGGGACGCCGAGGACAACGACCTGGTGCCCCACGAGTTCCCCAACCACTACATCCCCATCCCCGAGTACTACACCTTCGCCAACGCCACGGTGAGACCCCAAAACCCCCATCCTGTCACATCCAGACTGAGACCCCAAAACCCCCATCCTATCACATCCAGGGTGAGGCCCCAAAACCCCCCAGAGTGCCCCTGAAACCCCCCTAAAACCCCTCAAAAACCCCAAACCCCCTCCCAATCCACAGGGCTGGTGCTGCCCACCCACAGGGGGCTGCAGTGGGGCCGAACCCGCCCAGCTCCGTGGGTCACCAGAAGCCACCAGGACGTGGCCACCACCACCGCCACGAGGCCCTGGTGACAGCAGTGTCACCGCACATATGGCCCCGGAGACGTGGGTGACAGCGGTGTCACTGCATGGGCAGCTCCAGGGACACGGGTGACAGTGGTGTCACTGCGCAGGCAGCCCCGAGGTGCAGGTGACGGCGGTGTCACCGCACGGGTGGCCCTAGAGATGTGGGTGACAGCAATGTGACTGCACCAGTGGCCCCAGAGATGCACGGGTGGCCGCGGAGGTGTGGGTGACAGTGGTGTCACCGTGCAAGTGGCCCTGAAGACGCAGTGACAGCGGTGTCACCACTCACATGGCCCCAGAGACACGGTGACGGCCGTGTCACCACACAGGTGGCCCTAGAGATGCGGGTGACAGCGGTGTCACTGCACAAGTGGCCCTAGAGATACGGGTGACAGCGCTGTCACCGCGCCCGTGGTCCCAGAGATGCATGGGTGGCTGTGGAGGCGTGGGTGACAGTGGTGTCACTGCGCACGTAGCCCCAGAGACACGGGTGATGGCGGTGTCACCACGCATGTGGCCCCAGAGATGCATGGGTGGCCGTGGGGGTGTGGGTGACAGTGGTGTCACCGTGTTGGTAGCCCTGGAGATGCATTGGTGGCTGTGGGGGTGTGGGTGACAGCGGTGTCACCGCGCAGGTGGCCCCAGAGATGCATGGGTGGCCGTGGGGGTGTGGGTGACAGCACTGTCACTTCACCAGCGGCCCCAGAGATGCACGGGTGGCCGCGGAGCCGTGGGTGACAGCGCCGTCCCCGCGCAGGTGGCCCCGGAGACGCGGGCGGTGATCGCGTGGATGCAGCGCTACCCGTTCGTGCTGAGCGCCAACCTGCACGGCGGCGAGCTGGTGGTCACCTACCCCTTCGACATGAGCCGCACCTACTGGAAGGCCCAGGAGCTGACCCCGACGCCCGACGACGGCGTCTTCCGATGGCTGGCCACCGTCTACGCCACCGCCAACCTGGCCATGGCCAGCGGCGAGCGCCGGCGCTGCCACTACGACGACTTCACGCGCCACGGCAACATCATCAACGGCCATGGGTGGCTGTGGAGGCGTGGGTGACAGTGGTGTCACTGCGCACGTAGCCCCAGAGACACGGGTGATGGCGGTGTCACCGCGCAGGTGGCCCCAGAGATGCATGGGTGGCCGTGGGGGTGTGGGTGACAGCACTGTCACTTCACCAGCGGCCCCAGAGATGCACGGGTGGCCGCGGAGCCGTGGGTGACAGCGCCGTCCCCGCGCAGGTGGCCCCGGAGACGCGGGCGGTGATCGCGTGGATGCAGCGCTACCCGTTCGTGCTGAGCGCCAACCTGCACGGCGGCGAGCTGGTGGTCACCTACCCCTTCGACATGAGCCGCACCTACTGGAAGGCCCAGGAGCTGACCCCGACGCCCGACGACGGCGTCTTCCGATGGCTGGCCACCGTCTACGCCACCGCCAACCTGGCCATGGCCAGCGGCGAGCGCCGGCGCTGCCACTACGACGACTTCACGCGCCACGGCAACATCATCAACGGCGCCAACTGGCACACGGTGGCTGGCAGTGAGTGGGGACACAGCTCAGGTGGCACATGGTGACAGTGAGTAGGGACACAGCTCAGGTGGCACATGGCAGTGAGCAGGGACACTGAGCTCAGGTGGCACATGGCAGGGCAGGGACACTGAGAGCGCAGGTGGCACATGGCAGTGAGCAGGGACACTGAGCTCAGGTGGCACATGGCAGTGAGCAGGGACACTGAGCTCAGGTGGCACACGGTGGCAGTGAGCAGGGATGTGTGGATTTTTTCTTTCTTTCTGGTTGAGGTCAGGATTAAATGTGTGGGATGACATTTCTGGTTTGCACTCAGATGTTTGTCAGTTCTTACCTGTGTCACAGTCTCACGAACCATGAGTTTTTCAGTAATTTAACAAGCTAAAAAGGGAGCTCTGTCTCTCTCTCTCTCTACGAGGCCTTTTAAGGATAAACTATCCAACTGAAGAAATGACACCTAAATTATTTTTATTTTAACTCACTAACCTGTGACTTGCAATGTGGACTTTTTTATCTAATTACACAAAACCACCCAAACCCATGGAGAAGGTAAGAAAGAAAGACCAGCACTGCCCTAAAACTTCTATTTTGCTTTATAGTTATTATTACATTTTAAAATTTTAAACTCTGAGTTCTCCACCACGTGATATTACACACTTTTAATCAAACAGCACATTCATAATCTTAGTTCTATCATTTAATTTTGGAAGTTTCTCCATGCCTTTAGGTTAAATGCAGAGTTCTCTGGGGGTCAGCGCCTGCCAGCACAGAAAGTCTGAAATTCTCAGAGACACCCCGGGACTTTTCTGTCCCTTTGTCCCCTGCTGCCACCCGCCCTGTGCCCCGCAGGTATGAACGACTTCAGCTACCTGCACACCAACTGCTTCGAGATCACCGTGGAGCTCTCCTGCGACAAATTCCCGCACGCCTCCGAGCTGCCCGAGGAGTGGGAGAACAACCGCGAGTCGCTGCTGCTCTTCATGGAGCAGGTGGGGCACGGGGTGGCGCCGGGGTGGCACCGGGGTGGCACCGGGGTGGCACCCGGGGCTTGGGGACGCGGCTCGAGGGTGGCAGGAGCCACCCCGGGTGTGTCCGTGCGGAGGGGCCCGAGCGTGATGGGAATGGGGGGTGTGGGGTGCTGGGATGAGGGGGGTCCCGAGTGGGGGGTTTGGGACATGGGGACACTGAGGGACTCCAGGTGGTTCTGGGATCATGGGGATACGGGGGAAGGGGGGGGTTGCGGGGGAGGGGGGAGAGTGGGGTGCTGGGATGAGGGGGGTCCGGTGTGGGGGGTTTGGGACATGGGGACACTGAGGGACTCCAGGTGGTTCTGGGATCAGGGGATAGTGGGGAAGGGGGGTCCAGAGTGGGGGATTTGGGGGGTTTGGGACATGGGGACACTGAGGGACTCCAGGTGGTTCTGGGATCATGGGGATACGGGGGAAGGGGAGATCAGGATGGGGATTTGGGGGGATTTGGGACATGGGGAGACTGGAGGGGTTCCAGGTTGTTATGGGATTATGGGGACACTCTGGGAATCCAGAGTGGAGAAGCTGGGGGAGTTTGGGACATGGGGACACTGAGGGGATCCAGGTGGTTCTGGGATCATGGGGATAGTGTGGAAGGATGGAGAATTTGGGGGGGTTTGGGACATGGGGACACTGGGGGGGTTCTGGGGGTTCTGGGACCATGGGGACTCTGGGGAAGAGGGGTCCAGAATGGGGGATTTGGGGAGTTTGGGAAATGGGGACACTGAGGTGATCCAGTGGTTCTGGGATTATGGGGACACACTGGGAGTCCAGAGTGGGGCATTTGGGGGGCTTTGGGACTTGGGGACACTGGGTGGGGTCTGGAGGTGCTGGGACAATGGGGACACTGGCGGTGCTGGGACAATGGGGACACTGGGGGTGCTGGGACAATGGGGACACTGGGGGTGCTGGGACAATGGGGACACTGGGGGTGCTGGGACAATGGGGACACTGGGGGTGCTGGGACAATGGGGACACTGGGGCACGGACAGGGCAGACCCCCAGGGGGTCTCTGTAAACCTTTGAGGGGGGACACGCTGGGGACATTCCAGGGTGGCCGTGGGCACGGCAGGGTTCAGCAGGGTGGCAGCGGGACGTGGCTGTCCCCAAACGCTGAGGGTGGCACCGGGAGGGGGGGACACCCCTGTGGCACCCTGCAGGTGCACCGCGGGATCAAGGGCGTGGTCAGGGACAGTGACACCGAGCAGGGCATCCCCAACGCCATCATCTCCGTGGATGGCATCAACCACGACGTCCGCACCGGTACGGGGACACCGGGACGGGGGGGGGGATGGGATCTGGGGTGGGAATGGGAGCGGGATCAGGTGGGAATGAAGGTGGGATAAGGACAGGGATGGGATGGGAACGGGGTGAGGATGGAGATGGGGATGGGGACAGGGAAAGGAACGAGATGGGATTTGGGATTGGGAATTGCAGATGGGGGATGGAAATAGGATGAGACTGGGAAAGGGGATGGGATGGGGACAGGAATGGGGTTGGGATGGGAAGAGAAATGGGATGAGGTTGGGAATAGGGATGGGACAGGAATGGATGGCATTGGGTATGTCAATGGGCCAGGGCTGGGGACAGGGAAAGGAATGGGATGGGGTTTGGGGATGGGATTGGGAATTGCAGATGGGGATGGAAATAGGACTGGGAAAGGGGATGGGGACAGGGGTGGAAGGGGGATGGGATTGGGAATTGCAGATGGGGATGGAAATAGGACTGGGAAAGGGGATGGGGACAGGAGTGGGATGGGGCTGGGGACAGGGATGGAAGGGGGACGGGACTGGGAATTGCAGACGGCAACAGGAGCGGGATTAGGCTGGGAATAGGGATGGGATCGGGGATGGGAGTAGGAATAGAGGTGGGACAAGAGCGGGACAGGGCTGGGGACAGCAGCGTGACCCCGCCGCAGCCTCGGACGGGGACTACTGGCGGCTGCTGAACCCGGGCGAGTACGAGGTGACGGCGCGGGCCGAGGGCTACGAGGCGGCCACGCAGCCGTGCCGGGTCTACTTCGAGAACGTCCCCACGCCGTGCAGCTTCCGCCTGGCGCGGGGCCGCCACCGGCCCGGCAGGACCCGGCCGGGCCCCGACCCGGCCCTGCGGCTGCAGCGGCTGCGCCTCCGCCGCCTGCGCGCCCACGGCCGCGGGAACTGAGCCGGGGGCTCGGCCGGGCGGGACGGCTCCCAGTAAAGCTCGGCTGCGCTGCCGCTGCGAGTCTGCGGGCATGGAGCGGCGGAGGGACCGGGAATGGGAACGGGACCGGGACCGGGGCTCGATCCTGCCCCGGAGGAACCCGGCGGGGCCACGCCCCTCGACAGGCCACGCCCGCTTCCCGCCCGTCAATCGCCCCGCCGCGGTAAAGCCCCGCCTATTCGCTGCGGACCAATAGGAATCCCGCGCCCCTCATTAGGACACGCCCCTTTCCGCGGTAGAAATAGTAATCCGCCATAAGCCACGCCCACAATTCCCCGCCCCTTTCCTGGCGACGCGGGCTCCGCACGGCCCCGCCCCTTTCCCCCAATGCGTCATCTGGCCCCGCCCCTATGCGCGTGTGAGCGCTTGTCCCGCCCTCCCTTCATCTCTGGGCGCCTATTGGCTGCTGGCGGCGGGAGGGGCGGGGCGTGGCGGCGGTGGGACCAATAGGATGCGAGATTTATCGGCGGCGAGGAGGGGGCGGGGTTGGGGGGACACTGAGG